GTCGAATGTCTGTACATAAAAAAAAATGTTAAAAGCCGAGTCGGGGACGTAAGAAGAGAAATAGAACAAATCCAGTTTTTTTTTTCATTTATTTTTTTCTGTCTGTTTGTCTGTTTATAAGGGCTAATCTCCAAAACTGTTGGACTGATTTAAATGAAATTTTGATGGTGGTACCTTATATCCCCGGTCAACATTTTAAATACTTTTCATCCCGGAAAATCAAAGAGTTCTCGTAGGATAGTTGAAAAACTATAGTAACTTATAAAGCTTAGTACAGAACAACTTATGGACGTAATTTAGTAAAATTTGGCATGCACTTTATATTGCCGGTCAAACAATAGGCTACTTTTTATCCTGGAAAAATATACGGTTCCCGAGGGATAGATTTGTTCATGTTTATCTAGAGGCGAACCCGAGCGAAGCGAGGGTGAGCCGCTAGTATACAAAATATAATATAAACCCAGTGTAGTTGTAAATTTAATTTATTAGAATGAATAATATTGTAATAACAGCACCATATCAAGTTGTAGCAACAGTTACAATAGTTTGCCGTAGCTTCATGCGATTTAAGAAAATTAAATACATATAAGAAATAGTGTTCCTTTTGAAACCTCTCGTTTTCAATACATATTATAATAAAATTCTAACTAAATCAAATCTGTACATTAAATATTTTTTAGAAAATCTTATTGATATCGTCATTATTATCGATACAGAGCCGAATCTATAGTTTTTAGAATGTTCGTCTGTTTGTCTGTTTGGGAATGTATAACGAGAAAATCACTGAACAGATTTTGATGAAATTTTGTATGATGATATCTAGTTATCCGGATCAACATATACGAGTAGGATACTTATTACTGCGAGAAAATATCTTATCTCTGAGAAATGTATACTAAACATTAAAACGTAATTAGAGTCGCGCGAATTCGGTTCAGCAGTTTTAAAAACGTATTCGGAAATAAATATTGTGTGTAATTTTTTAACCGTTAAGTATTGAATTGTGGAAATCTCTAATATACTCGTATGTACATAATATTATGAACATGTTCCATTAATTGAAGCAAAGATTATTAACCTTACAAATCTTGACTACTTCTCTCAAAAGAGAAATGAATTCAGTACCACGTAAATTGCACTGTATGAATTGTACTGAATTTTAATTTCAAAATTTGGTTGAGAAAAGTATTATTTTAAATATATCTTTGCTATTGTTAAGCGAAAATATTTGCTAGGAATTAGTCAAAGCAAATGCGGTCTTAGCAATTATAAATAACTAGAATTTATAAATAACTATTGATAAAGATAGATCTTACCACTTTTTTGTTTATTATGATAAGTAGACTTCTATAACAACTAACAACTATGTTTATAGATTAGCGGTGTGTCAAACAAATCGATACTTATAAATAACATTAACTACAAGTAAAAAATATATATTATAAAAATAAAAATCCCGACTGCATAAAAGCTAACTAAAAAGATGAAAACAAGTTCACGGAGGAATATACTCGTAGTATTATGCAGTTGGAGACGTACACGTTTCATCCTTGCCGCAAGATGTATGCAAATACATAATAATGTATAATGTATGTATGTTGTTTCTTATTTTTACAATATTTCTTTTTTATTTACAGCTTTTTAGTTTTTGCCAATCAGACATTAGAAGTTATATTTAACAATTTTTGATCTTAAATTATTATAAGGAATACAGGAATTTTATACCTTTTTGGAATCCTTGTTATGAGACCTTTAATATGATACCCATATTGCAGAAAAAGATTTAAAAAAAATCACCTTAAACAATGAAATCTAGCAGCCCGCATATTTTTAATTCTTGCATTAATGAGACGAATCTAACGATACCTTAATTAAAGAAATCCATCGAGTGGTTTGGAAGATATGAGGGAATAAAGAATATTAAAAACAAACATACAAAGATAGGCGCGAAAAACATACGCCTCTCCTTGCAGTCGGGTCGGTCGCACGGTTAGGTCATCCTTCTCCTTTTAGGAAGTTGGTTAAATAAAATAGCTCTCTTTAATATTTTCTTTATTATTCAAATTGTTACAATAAGTAAACACTCGTTTTCTCGCCATATGTGCTATAGGTACAAGTAAGATTCTCATAGTTTACTTTAATATAATCTAAATCCTTACTTATTTAAATGTACTATCAATTATAAAATAGATATTATTTCACGTATAGCACACGTCACAAGTGCCGTTAAATAACCGAGATAATGTTTGCAACAGCTGTTTTTGTTCAGAATATGCATGGCTGAAAATCCAAAGTCCTCCCAATATAAAGCTTCATTATGTTTTATGTACCTAATTAAAATAAAACAAGGTATTGTAATTTGAAAAGAGATTATATATAAATTGCGATTTAACGAGCAGTGTAATTATAGTAACAGTTGACAGTAAATAATGATTTTGTAGTAAATAGGGAAAGAATGACCAAAATTGCATTTTGTTTAAAGATAATTTACCTATTTCTGATGATTTAAACAGTATTAACGATACATTATATATACTTTGAAAGATGTTAAAAGTACTAACATTGAGTTTAAAATATTCTAATTAAATTATTAGTCTTCGATAACAATTGTGACATGACTGCTAATCGAATTGTGTTCGTTATAATATATTTATTGAAATAAATACATATACCTATACATATTTTTTATCTATGGCTACTATGGACCCGTTTCATAGCATCATGCAATCTATATACTTAGTTTAATTGGGATACCCAACCCCAGCCTGCAAATTTATGATATTCGCAATGAAAAAAATACTAATCGATAGATTTTTAATAGCTCAATTCAACTACGTAGCCCTTCCAAATTGCTCACCATTAATTATAAAATTAAATAGTTTGAATAAATTTAACGTATAGATAGGTGAGTGCTGCGCATGCGCGCAATATACGTATATTTTAGCTATATTTATTCTAGCATTTTTTAGTTTTAGTCAAAAAGTGAAAAATATCCAGCAAACATAATGAGCATGTATACTACTACTTATTTTGTTTTGGAGCAAAGAAGAATATATAGAAAATACTTTGTAAACAGACATAAAGTTACAAAATAAAGTTACCTTTTAGTCATGATTTGATTTTTGTATAAATTGAACATAATGAATAAGTCAATAAATAATAAAAATACCTGATAATAGATGATGTTGTGCTTGGAGTATTACAGTTTCATTTCACTATGATGAGGTTATGAAACACTTGATTTTTTTGCCTTGCGACTCGCGTTACTGTTTGCGCGCATGCGCAGCACTCACCTATCTATACGTTAAATTTATTCAAACTATTTATATTTATTTAATAATTAAGGAAAGTGGAGCTGGTGAGAACTCTACTTGAGCAATTACAAATGCAACTTGAGCAGTATTTTAGAACTTTGAGCAATTTAAAATATTGTATATATCAAAAGATATAGAAATTTGAATATACGGATAAATGAATTTTTTTTCAAGGACTTTATTGATTTTTAATTTTATAATTAATGGTGAGCAATTTGGAAGGGCTACGTAGTTGAATTGAGCTATTAAAAATCTATCGATTAGTATTTTTTTCATTGCGAATATCATAAATTTGCAGGCTGGGGTAGGGTATCCGTTTAATTGTTACTTATATTTGTTATAAGTAAACTTCAATAACGAACAGTATTGATACAATTTGCTGCTAAGTACTATTCTAAACTTTTGTATCATTTTTCTTTTAGAACTGTAAAGCCTATGCTTAATACTTACTGTGATAATTACCTGCATTAAACTAAATCTTATTTTTACAGGGGAGCACAGAGTAGCCGGTTTTTAATTTCGAGGTGTTTATCCATTTAGACATTAGAAATATACCGTGATAAGTATCTGCATTAAAACTACATCTAGATCTAGTGATAAATTCTGATGGCCCTGTTACCAACATCAACGAACCACATCCAAAGAAAAGCAAATGTAATAAAAGTAAAATTAATGTCTTTAATATTAAGCCATACTAACATTTGTGCTCATGAATGAATTCCCTCAGTAGAACCCGAACCCGCGACCGCTGGTATAGCCAGTAGCGTCACTACAAACTGAGTCGAACTTGTCATTATGCAAATGAAACTTAAATATTTTTTTTGTGTCCTTTATGCTATAAATATATTAATGACTGGACCTCGCTTCGCTCGGGTCCGTCATCATATCGTTTATATGTTAATTTATGTGTTTACCTTGTTAACCAACTGTCATCATCCCAAATTTTCATTTAATCTGTCCAGTGGTTTTCGAGTGATTTGGTCACAGACAGACAAATTGTAAAAAATTCGTCCTCTGTATTGTTAAATTGATTAACAAAATATTAGTATAGATAGATACATTTTACTCATTGTTTCTGTTATTATTTAATTAGATGTATAAATGTTATTTTTGTTTTAGTTGTTTATTTTTCTTTTTCTTGTCTTCTGCTTCTTATTTTTTTTGTTATATGTGAAAACTTGATTGGTTTATGTAATGTCTTGTTATTATTTATTTAATATCGTGCTATTTGCTACCAGACGGCAGACCTTCTATGTTGACAAAAATATAAAATCAGTAATGATTGTTATGTATATATATAATATGTTTGTTTCTGTATTTAATATTGTTTAGGTACTGTAAATATTTTTTGGTCATAAAATATTATAATTACCATTATTAGCAGGTGTAAAACTAGTGAAATGATGGTAAAGCATATACTAGGTTTAGGTTAGGGCCTTAGGTTATGCGCTTTGATTACAACTAACAACATTAAAAATCATGCAACTCGAAATAAATAAATAAACTCTCTAAACTCATCAATACATACGGTTTGCTACAGCTCTAAACATTAATGAATAAAGTAATTAAATAAACAAAGGATGTAACACGTTAAGATTTAATACTGAAGTATTCCACGATCCTCAATATTTATTTTACTCCTTAATGTCAAGTGTTTAGTTTTAGTGTTGATTATAATATATTACGATGATATTTGAAATATTCGTGTAAGTTTCTTTTCTATATTATATTCGTGACTCAGATAACTATAAAGCAATGTTACTTTGTATTATTTATTTACCGATTGTATCACTATAAATTTAATAACACAGCATATTTGTTCGATAATTAACATATACACAATACAATTTGAATAATCCTATTTAAAAAATTGTTTAAATTTGAAATCAATTATACTATTAAAGGGATTAATATTTAATTTTTCGCATATTCATTTGAAGATAAAACAATTTATTGTTTTCATGTAATAATGTTTAAAGACTTTGTATTTGTAATCAATAATGAAAATAATAAAGCATTTGTTTTTAGAGTTTTTATTATTCAGTCTTAAATAAAATGGATGATGGATTATGTCTCTGTATTTTTTCCAGTTTGGTAGTGATATTGCCAATGATATTCATAGGTGTTCTATTATTTGGCATATTTGTGATAGTGCCTTGTGCATTTATTTTTGCCTCATGGTATATGAAAATAAAAGAGAGAAAACTGCAAAGAAGGAAAAGAGATGGCCCTAATATTGCATTCTTTCATCCATACTGCAATGCTGGAGGTGGTGGCGAAAGGGTGTTATGGGTTGCTATTAAAGCAATCTTGACTAGGTAATTTTGTTAAATAAGTTTTATGCAGTAAATAATAATAAGATTAATATAGCTTTGAAGAAAGTTACTATCCTAATGATTTTGAGGTTTTAGGATCAAAGTTTAAATTTGTAAAAAAAAAACAATATTAATGTAATTAAAATGACACTGCATTATAGAAATTTAGTAACTTCAAATCTTTATATATTATTTGTTTCCCAACTAATAATAAACAAATAAAAATAAATTTATAAAATTCTGAGTCAAATCTGCATATTAATTAAACATTTTTTTTTGGAAATTCATTATTATCTATACAGAGGCTGAATCTATAGTTTTTAGAATTTGTGTGTCTGGCTGTCAATATATTATACATCACTTTTTACTGCGGGAAAACACGTCATCTCTGAAATTATACTAAAAGTTAAAATGTAACTATATTATTATGGGGGCGACATAATCACTGAGTGATAAAGCTCCTTTAAAAAAAAGAGAAAAAAAAAATGTAACTAGAGATGTACCTCAGTGGAACAAGGTTGAGTCACTAGTAAACCTAAAGAGATGGTTATTTTTTTATTTATTGTAATTATTTTGTAAATATGTGTCTTTACAGATACCCAGATTCAAACATTTACATTTACACAGTAGAAACAGCAGAGCCTATTACAATTTTGAACAAAGTACAAAACCAATTCAATGTGATAGTGGATCATGAAAAAGTGAATTTTGTTAGACTAACGATGGGGAAGACTATTGAAGCTGAAACATATCCATATTTTACATTGTTGCTGCAGAGCTTAGGATCCATGGTCTTGGGAATGGAAGCATTTTTGAAATTCAATCCTGGTAATTTTAATTTAAAACATACTATAATTATTATTATTAATTATGATTGAACGTAATGTGTATTAATAGTAAAGTTCTCTACACTAATTAAGTCTTAAAATAAAAAATACAGACACCCAACCTGGCACAGTATTACATCTTAATAATATAAAATTCAAAAATAGAACTTTTTGGTACTTCTAACAATAATAGAAGGGCATAATAAATTTTAAAGTGAGCATGATATCATTTGGCACTCACTTAGCATTTGCATATCACTCTAACAAGAAATATTACAAAATTCTTTCCAATTTAATTTTATATTAAACAATAAATACAACAACTTTGCTATATCATTTTATTCTTGACATAGATATCATTCCTATATTTTCTCTTATAATTGTAAAGCAATAAAAAATTATATATAAGTAAATAAATTCTAATTAAAAACCTTTTCCATCAGATATTTACATAGACACAATGGGGTGTGCGTTCACCTACCCAATATTCCGCTACCTGGCCCAATGTCCCGTGGGCTGTTACACCCACTACCCGGTGATCACTTCAGCCATGATGAGGAGAGTGAAGCACCGCCTCACTTCATACAATAACAGCAGCGTGATCGCACGCAACCCTTTGTTGACTTGGTGCAAGCTTTTCTATTATAAGGTTTTTGGATGGGTAAGTGAAGAGAAATATTTAAAAGTAATAACTGTCTACAGCTTTTTGTTTGTTTTTCTAACAGAAAACTCTCAGATAAGGGTTTTGGACCTGACCCCTTATCTATATATACCATTAAATTGTTGTAGGATCAAAGTTGTTGATTAAATATCCTCATACATATATTTGGAATCACTTGAAAATTATTGAGCTAATTTTAATAGGAATCTTTTAATTGTTGGGGTTGTATGCATTAAAGCACATTATTTCAATTACATTCTAAATCAGTGCACTTCTTTCCAAAGTCAGTCATTTATAAATATTCGGCCCAGTTAGTGTATTGTATTTATATACCTTGTGAATTGTATTTATGTATGTTTATTTAAGTTTTTATTGGCTTCTTCAATTGTCGTATTGACTTGAAAGTTTTCGTACAATTTGGTTGATAATATTTTATCATCAACATAAGTTATTGAACTTGGTACTATCGAGAAACTTATTGAACTACTATTAATAAATGTGAATGTTTGTGTGTGTTCTTATATGTTACTTCTTTACGTTGAAATGGTTGGATATATTTAGATGTAAGTTACACAGATAGACTATGACCTGGAGTAACACATAGGCTGTTAGGCACCTAGTTCCTTATATAATTCTTTATTCAGCTGTACGGTGTGGTGGGGCGGTGCGCGGACATCGTGATGGTGAACGGCACGTGGACCGAAGAGCACATCAACGAGCTGTGGAATCGGCCCTTCAAAACGCACAGAGTTTATCCTCCTTGTGAAGTGAGTTGTAGTTCCTTGTATATATCCTAGTTACCCTTGAAAGTTTTTCTATTACTAAGTATAGACTGTCTATCTTTATCCATGGGCAGCGGCAGGATTATTTCCAAATGGGTTCATTTGCTTCTTGTTTCTTATCATTAAACTACTAACTAATCTTTAAATGGTTAACTTTATAATTTTTATTCATAAATTTAATATTTCAGATATATCTATATTTAAACAGAGATTTAACCGTATAATTTTATTTCTTTAATTTTTTCTATATATTTTACTTTATGACAAGCAGGTGCAAGTGCACCCTCTTGCACCTCTCTCCCGACGCTTGAGTCTATCCATTTGTCTCTTTTAGCAATCATTGTTATGATGAATTTCCTTATAAATATGTTTTATATGATAACTATGTTATGTATATAATATTTCATTATATTGTTCCAATTGTAAGTCATTTCATTTGTTTCATATCCGTCGTATAAGTCGTCCGACTTATATAGGAAACTAACAGTATCTTAGGTTTTCATACCCAAAATGTCTAAAATGGCAATAATCAAGTTTAAATTAAACTTTTTTTGGTCCATTCTTAACCTTTTGCATAATATATTTATATTGTATGTCGGTATAAAATCCGACTTACTCTTGACTAATCTTTATATCAACTTATTATTATCACAACAGGTATCTGAGTTAAAAAAGCTGAGATCGTTAGTGAAGGACTCTGATCCGATACAAATAATATCAGTAGCGCAGTTCCGGCCCGAGAAGGACCACCCTTTGATGCTTCAAGCGATGTACGAGCTCAGGAATCTGCTCAAAAACAACGAAATGCTTTGGAATAAGGTAAAATATCTATAGTGGACTGAAAATTAATTTTAATCAATTAGACTTATACAAGCACTTTCTTTTTCCCCGCCTTTTACCGTTACGCGGGGTCGGCATTTTAAGCTTAGCCCATCGATCAAAAAAGTACTAGATATACAATCTCATACAACAGATCTCTTAAAATTGTTACCAATTGTGTTTAGGTAATTATTCTAGTTGAAATAAATATTACAACAATGTAAATTGAACCTTAAATGCAATGCTTAAAGTTGTTTTCACAAAAAAAATGAAAAGCTTGCTCAAATGTTCAGGTTCAAATGAACGCCCAAATGTTCAATGAGCGTTCATTCGGTAAATACATTTTCTGTCACTAATGTATGGTTAAAAAGCAAAATCTTTGCAAGAACACCACAAGAATATAAATTTTGCACAGATAAAGCTCGTGCTGGTGGGTTCGTGCCGCCACCCGGCGGACGCGGAGCGCGTGCAGCAGCTGCGCGACCTCGCCAAGCACCTGGCGCTGGAGGCCAGCGTCTCCTTCACCGTCAACGCGCCCTTCGCCGCTCTGCTGCAGCTCTACCAGACCAGCTCCATGGCCATACACGCCATGTGGAACGAGCATTTTGGCATCAGTGAGTTTTGTTTATCATTGATTATACTTTATTGGGTTTACGCGAATATTTGATACTTTAAATAAAAGTATTTCTTCAGATTTCGCGGTTTCTTTTTTATTTTTGGTTTACGACGTTTCAACAGCAATCATGGTCACGGAAGAGTTATACTCTCCCAAAATAAATTCACGGAAAATTTCAATGACCTAACAGATTTTGTTGATACTCCTGACCGATTTTGGCTGGCCAATCTCACTGAGAATAGCCAACTACTAGAAATGTTAGAATATAATGCGTATGCGCACAAAAACGTGCACTCTCTATTCCTGTCACTTTCATACTACGGTGGGACGACGCGAGACACGACCAGTGTGACATTTCGACTAACGGCTGTTAATTAGATTTTAACTCAATAATGAAACTGCCCAACCCGGGACTCAAACCCAGGACATTCGGATCTGCAATCAAGATGACAACATATTTCAATTTTTCATCTATTCTATGTCAATTTTCATCCAGATTCAGCCTTTACACACATCCATACATTTCGCATTAATAATATTTATGGGATATATTTCTCTTTATGTATGCAGGTGTGGTAGAATGCATGGCAGCCGGCCTCATCACCATCGCCCATCGCTCCGGAGGTCCTTTGGCTGACATCATAGAGACCTCAGAAGGTTCCAGGAATGGTTTCCTTGCGTCAGAACCAGATGAATACGCTAGAGCTATCCTGGAGGTGATCGCTTTACCCTCGGATGAGAAGAAACGTATTGTGGAGGCTGCGAGGTGGGTTTTTTGTTGAGAAATATAATTTTATTCAGCCTTTTTTAATGTCTCACTGCTGGGCATGGGCCTTCCTTCATTACGAGGGGGATCAAGCCATAGTCCACGCTGGCCGAGAGCGGGTGGGCTGAGCATGTCTTTCGAAAATTTGCTAGGTTCTCACACACATGCAGGTTTCCTCACATTTTCCTTAACCGTCAGACAAGTGATAATCATTTTGGAAATGATTCACATGTCAATATATCATAGATGAAAATATGAGAGACCCAGGATTTGAACCCGGTTCACTCGTATTCCCGAGCGAGAGCGTTACCACTATTCTACCACTGCCTAATAGGAATAGAATATTTAGTACAATTTTCAGGAGATTTCCATTTTCTTTGTTTATCTCAACTACTATAATTATTTTAAATCTTGCAGAGCCTCAGTGGACCGTTTCTCAGAGATGGAGTTTGAAAAAGCATTCCTTAGAGCAACAGAGCCGCTTATTAGTTTAGAATAAATATATGTAACATTATATTTACAACTTTCCACTAAGTTTAAGTATAAAGGGCTTATTACACTGATATGATATATGGCTAATAAGACATTTAAGATTCCTCTTGAAACACTTATTGTCTATGACTTAATCTGCTTAGAAATATAAATAATCTGTCCTGTGATGCTTATATTTTAAATCATGTACTTATTTATAAAAACAATAAACTTCTTCGTCCAACTAATATTCAAAAAGATTTTAAGTGTGATGCATTAAAAGTTAGAACTAAATTTCGCATGTTTTCTGTTATAGGTAAAATATATTGAGATACTTTTATACAGGATTTGTTAGTAAATTGACTATAGCACCATCTGGAAGACTAGTAAATTTATATTATATTTTGTTTAAATCACTTTTACAAGCGCTTTCAAAACTATTTTTACATTTACTTTAAACACTACTAATCAATGTGTTGACCAAACAAGTTTGTTCTATAAATATGATGAAACAGGATGACTGTATTGTATAAAGGTTCTATTATAGTGTAATAAGCATTTAAGTAGAATCAAAAATAAATTTTACCAAAGTTATTAATGGTTTTATTTACTTTTCTTTACAAAAACATTGAATTACAATGTATAAATAAAATATATATAAAATAATTCTTAAATAATGACAACAAGCTTCATAGCGCTGAATGTGACTTCAAATACTGAATTTCAATGTAATAATTTTTATACAAATGATGTTTAATATATAATACATTTTATGTCAAAACTAAGAAGTCACATTAAGTGCCAACATACAAACATATTGAGAGGAATGTTGGTAATATTGAGTTATTAATCTATGCAGAAGTGCATCCCACTCGGTCCCTCGGGATTAGCCTCAACTCCGAACCGTGTTTTAAAAACACATTTCCTGAAATTAAAAACAAAATATGTAATTATATATACTACTCAAATCAAATAATAATGTCATAAAAGAATATGATTTAAATGTTTTTGTTTGCCAGATGCTGAGTATTCGTGGGCATCTACTTTGAAGTTCCATCATCTGATTATGGCGATAGTAATAACGATAATGGCGATATTAATAATCATTTCTAAATAATAAATGAGCAAAATAAATGAGCAAATGTAATCAGCCCTTTTTGTGCAAATGTAATCAGCTGGGCACGGGCATCCTTTCAATACGAGGGGGATGAGGTCGTAGTCCACCCCACTGGTCAATTGCGGGTTGGAGGATTGCACAAGTCTTTCAAAAACTTGCTAGGTTCTGTGAGGCATGCAGATTTCCTCGGGATGCTTTCCTTCATCGTAACTATTAGGTAGTTAGTTGTGTGAATCATGTTGGAAAAGATTCGCACATGAAAAATTAGAGATGCGAGACCCGGGGCTTGAACCCGGTCTACTCGGTTTTCTAAGCGAGCACATTACCACTGGGCCACCACTGTGGTAGATTATGGCCTGATTATCCTCGTACTGAAGGAAGGCCCGTGCCCAGCAGTGGGACGTTAAAAAGGGCTGAATGCAAATACAATGTGTACTCTGTATTTTTTTACTCTCACATTCCAGTGGGATAATATTCGACCCGGCTAACAAAGGTAACAAGCAACAACGGCTAACAAGGGTAAAAGGTAACGATTTACGTGTTTCCCACGATGGTGGAACACCGCTAACTTCCCTATTCCAGGCTGCTACAAAGAATATCTTGCTAGAGAAATCCAATAACTATATGTACTTGGCTCGACCCACGAATTTCCGATCTGTGGCTTTATGTCCTAGTAGCTGTAGAGTGTAGACCAATGAGACAGTTAAAATATTCAATACTAACGACTCGCGGTGAAAAACAGCCCATGTCATTCTCCAGCCCTTCTATCTTAACCAGGGCCGTGCCTGACGGGCGTTCATTGCGTGCACCGCACGCAGGCGGCCGAAATTAAGAGGCGGCCAAATCGTTACAAGTTGTTTACTGGGCAAAAATACAATCGGTTTGTTTTCATTAAGATACGAAGTAAAAACAGTTTCTCTAATCTAATCTATCTAAAAAGAGTTTCTCAGAAATAAGAAATGTATAAAAACTGATTAGGTCGTTGTAGTATTTATATACCTAGTCCATGAACGAATTAACCACTGGACCAGACATATAAGCGGACGTACCTTTAACGGTCATGTCTGTAACCAGGGAATTTTAGCCTAGGTCGTTTGTTTTTTGTGTCAGTCTCAAGCACTTACTTGTCAACAAAACATCTCCCAAAAATGACTAAATGTTCTGTTAAATGGTGTAAAAACTATAACGGCGGAAGCAGTACTATTTCTTTTTACTTGTAAATACATTATTTTATTACATTTATTGTTATTTATCACAAAATTTTTGGTTTTGGGAACAAAACCAATATTTTTTTTCGTTCTCGATTTCGGTTAACCAAAAACTGATTTTTTTCCCGGTTTGATGCCCTGTGTATAATAATAAACATTAAAAATTAAAGTAGTTTTTTTTAATGTTATCCTGGGGGCGGCCATACAGACTGGCACGCAGGCGGCCATATACCCAGGCACGGCCCTGATCTTAACACAGCAAATCAAGCCAATTCGTCACTCCGTCACTTCTGTTTCGGCGTGAAAGAAGGATACTTTCACATTCATAATATTAGTATGGATAATAAGGATAGCACAATACCGGCAGTCTGCTGAGGGTTGATGCCGATACCGTCATCAGTGATGATAGCGCTGGTAGCGGGCTCCACGCGGAACTCCTCCGCTGCGAACTTTAGCACCGCTGTGAAAGGCGTCGCTTCGGGCACGCTTAGGCTGCAAGGATAAAATAGGATCTCATACATACTTCTATATTTTGTATAACAGATACAAAATATATTAATTTTAAGAAAAAAATCAAAAGTTTTCTTTAAATAAATTAATGATAAAGTGTTCAATAAACATTTGTTTTTTTATTCAACCAAATCATGTATTGAACTTCATGCATAGCATCATAGCATGTGGAATTTTGCATGGGTTAACTTAGTCTTAATGTTATTATTTAATAAAAAACATATATAATACTGAACATCTACAACCACTAGCTTTTTAGATTTCACTTTTTATAATTATTGAAACAATTCCAACATTACATAATATCTTTCTTATTAACATTAGAAGATGTTTTATACTATTCTCAATAATTGCTTTTTACCAAAACGGGCAAGATTCAACAGCTTATATGCCAATTTTAAGTAAGCAATGTCTTTTTACTTTTCAAGATGTATTTTAATAAATACACAGTTTGGTAGACATAAAATCATTGCATAATCTTACTTTTATTTATAGTTACTTCAGAATTTTAAAAGTTTTTAAAGAGTATAAAGGCCCAAAACAATAAAACATTAATTAATTAATACAAAAGCACTTTATTTTCTCATGTAGATAGCAAATTATTCCAGAATGATGCATCTTGATTCAATTCTTGGATTATATCAAAGAATTCTAACTTTAAGTTTTCATCATCACATATTGTTTTAACTGTTTCGGATAATTTAGAATGTGTTAGATTAATATAAAAAAAATCCAGTGACATATTTTCTTGGATCAATTGACCACATTCTACTAGAATTTTAGACACGTGTTTGAATATATTAGCATGATGTAAACATATTTTCAAAAATATTGTATTCTCAGTATGAAAAAATACATTCCAAAACCTTTGACTAATCATCCAATCTTTTTTCTTTGACATAAATGATAGGAAAGCTTCCAAAACTACACTAACTTCACGATGATACTTTATATCTTTATTCAATAAACTTAATAATAACATATCCATCATATCTCTAGTACAGTTTTCTAACATTTCACATATAATTTTACTTGAATTTTTGCTGCCATGAATTTCTGATAGGAATAACACACTTTTAAACTCTAACAATATATCTTTTGGAAATTCATGCACCAAATTTTTTAAAAGGGTTTCCTTTGAAGCTGCTTCCAATATAAAATCACTCAAACACAACTCAAGCCTCTTTTCAGAAAACAACTCAAGAAATATTGAGAAACCTGCATCCATCAAAGATATATTTGTAGAAGAATTAATTATTTTTTTCAATATATATTTTGGTGGATCTGAAAAACATTGTTTGAGAAATAGACTTGATGTGTTTTGATCTTTGTTTAGAGCAGATAAAAATTCATCGATAAAACACTTTTGCTGAAGTTTATCTAAACATCTTTCTATATGTTGTGATATTAAAAAGGAATTTCTAATCTCCTCCAAAGTAGTTTCATCATTAGGCCAATTATTTGACTGACACAAATTAATGTAGTCTTGAAAAAATTTAAGAAACGGTGTTATTACTATCGCCATAATCAGATGATGGAACTTCAAAGTAGATGCCCACGAATACTCAGCATCTGGCAAACAAAAACATTATTAAAAAAAAATACGGATATAGGATTACTTTTCTACGTTGAAGTTACATTCATCTTTTTTTTTTACAAAGAAATTAATAAAACTTACACTTTGAAAGGAAGTTTAGGATCCGAAGTCAGGGTTATCTTGAAAGTAACTTTAGACCTAAAAATATAAATATTGGTAGTAAGCTAAATATGTCTTATAGATAACTTTCATATTATTATAATATTCACATAATTTCATATAATTTTAATATTCACTTACATGTTTATATTTATTTAATTAAGATAAAAACACAATTCTAATATTTGCTAAGTAGAAGAAAAATACGAATATTAAAGTGACACATCACAGTTCACACTTCACAGTTCACACAGTTACATTTGACATTTGATAGTAAGAAAGTCCTAAACTTCATCTATGGTCAGTTCTTTTTTCTAATACATCACGCTAGCCATAGAGATTATGTATACATTTTTGCTATGGTTTATCTAATATCTATGAATAAGTAAACTTGTGACTTCTGGAATACTTTTCAATATATACTTATTCTATGTAACATTTTTTCTAATGTTTGAGAGGCCATTGCCACTGGGTGTTACATTACTTTTCAAAACTGCCATATTTCGTTCGAATCTTACAAGACATGACACAAACTGAATTTTCATTAAATTAATGTCTCGGTGTAATATTTTCTTATTGCAGCATTAAAGTCTTATGTCATAAGTATACTGCGTACACACCGGCATAATGAACGCCAACATTATGTAATTGATTGGCCATATTTTGACCATAGTTGAACCATAGAGTATATTGCTACATATAAGTTGAACTGTCAGTGTCAAATGTCAATTGCGATTTGCGATTTGCGATTTGACTGTTGAACTTAAGCCAGTATTGACGTTTGTTTCCAAAACAAGAATTTTATCAAAGTCTAAACTCTAAAAAGAATACAAAATGTTGTTTAAAAGAAATCTACTTGAAACTATCATCGTATTATCATTCAGTGGAACAGCTATATGTGTTCTATTAAACTATGTGACGAATATTTCACCTATTACTGGGATTTGGTTATTAATTTATCTTTTATTCCTGTTTGTCGCATCGTTATTCTGTAGTTTTAAATTTATGCATTGGTTACTTCAGTTAAACAAACCTATTAAATATGATTTGGACAATATTGTTAAGAAATATCCCTTTTTGTCATTCCTCGGTGATGTTTTACCGCAAGTAAATAGACCGAAGGAAAAAGAACCAATTAAGGAATATGATACCAACGAACTAAGCGTAATAACTACTGTATTAGAGAAAAAACTGGTATCTTCGTGGTATGTCTCGTATATATCAGAAGAAATAGGATTCCCTTTTGCATGCAAACAAATGTTGGATCAGATTGTCGCAAAAGCCTTTCAGGTATATTTTTTTTTTAAGTTATTTAAATTTGCGAAAAATTATATAAGCAACTGAAGCCTTTGTATTGCAAATTAAGCTACAATTTTTTATTTAATTACTTTTAGATATGCAACAAAATTGAAACCAAAGATGTATTTGTAGACATCTGTGCCATTCTAATTAGCCACTTAAAAGAATATAAAAAAGCTATTAAAAGACATGAAGCAACCCCCGATAGTTCTATCGAAGTTTTGTATAAAAATTCTCATCCTATTTCTAATAATAAAAGTAAAAAAATAACATCTGCTGATCATTGTATTAATATATTAAGAATTGTATTAAAGGAGCTAGTTCCATGGGAACTCTGGGATACTCCATACTCTGAATTACTTGTTAGAATTTTAGCTAAAAAATTGGACACTTTTATTGAAAATACAATTACTGATCCTGTCTGGTTAAATGATAAATTACTAACAGCTCTCAAGGCAAAGGAAGAAAGTAATAAAGATACTGTTGAAGAAGCAAAGCATGTGGATACAGAAAACCAAGAAAACCTAAAAGAAAAAACTATGAATGAGACAAACAAAACAAAGCCTAGTACTAATAATCATAAAAGTCAACTTCCAACTGTCCAAAAAAACATAAATGAGGAGAAAGAAGTAAAAAAAGATGAAGATCAAGTATCTCAAGGAAGTGTCATTGAACCAGTGGAAATCAAACCATCAGCAGTTTTAAGACAGAAACGAGGCAGACAAGGCAGAAATGAAGTAAAAATTTATGATAGAATTATTGAGGGTATGTAATTTACCAATACATACATATTATATCAATATTAAACTAGTAACAATATTGTTTTATATATTTAAACTAGAGAATTGTTTTAAACATTTTTATATGTATATGTATTTTGTTTATATAATATTTGAAATAATCAAGTTGAAGAGAAGCCTAAGATAAAGTAATTAAGTAACTAAATTTCAAGGGGCACATACCTATACACTATTAAGATAAAAAATCAATTTCATTTAAATATTACTGTTTTGCTAGCTACACCTATTACCTTATAGCTGTGTCTGCTATGCCAAAGTCAAGTATAACACAATTTAATTCTAAACAAATGAAAAAAAACGATTTTTCTTTTTTTTTAATTTGCCATAATTTTTATGCACTTGCATAACCATCAAATTTCTACTACTACAGGCAGCGTCAAAACCTGGGAGACAGATATGGATTTACAGTGCATTAGTGTAGGCCAGGACTTGCTGGCGAGCTTGGACGAGATGACACTCAGTCGGCTGTGGGGTCATGAAGATATAGAGAATAGCCCTAATCTGAGAGCATCTCCACAGCTCTTGTGGTTTGGTCAGTATTCTTCACTAACACAGTTATCATCATTCATTATGAAATAAACAAAATAAATATGTAGTCAATACAAGATTTTTTTACAAAGTTTCTGTCCCACACTATTTGATTTTCTAAATATCTGACATAGTATGTTAAGTTTTAAGGAATACTTAGATATTTTTCCTAAAACTTACTTGAATTCGACGCGCGTTTGTATTGATTGTGTATGCAAATAATATGCATTTTTAAAGGTCATCAGTGTAGAAAACGCAAAGACGCCGCGCGTTCATTATACGCGCGTTGTCGTCGCGTTTATAAAACTGTGCATAGACCCTAATATCTCTGATATGTTAAGCAATGAAATAACAAATACATAGACAGGCATAATGTTATCAAAAGTATCAATTATATTATCAACAATCATATTAAAATTAGTTCTGGATTATTTTGACTGGCCGAGCCACTGTGGAAAATGCATTACCGAAATAGATAACCTGTTGCATATCTAATAACAAACAAAGAATAATTATAATCCTGCACTATCATGAAAATTTGGTGAAGTAATATAGTACCCATTAAGAGTTCTTGCAGACATGAAACTGCCTTATTTTTTTATTATCAGTCGTTATTTTGTCGCATTCACGATTCATACATAACAGTATGAAGGCGTACGCAAATTGCGTATGGGCAATTTTCTTCAATTGATTATGTCGAAAAGTTATCCGTTGCTGCTACATAAGCACGACGTTCATCCACTAAACATACCACGTTGCCTCAACTACTGTATTTCAGTTACCGTCACTGTATCTAGTCTATTATAACGTCTATTTCTTCCAGTAATTGTTAATTAACATTGAAGTTACACATAATATTAACAGGCGAAGAAGACTCAATAGACCTGGAAGGAGAACCTATCAAAAAGGAATCCAGTCCCAAGTCAACGGACGCCCTGCTCAAAGACCTGCAGAGCACTGTCCATCACGCGAAGACCAAAATTGGGGACCTGCAGGTCTTACACGTAGATGTGACCCAGCATCCCAGTGTATGTCTATGGCACGCTCTATCTGCTTTACTTTCTTGTTTCTATTTTACTATTATCTTATTTTCTCTCAATATTTCTTCATTTTATCTTTGTATCTTTTCAATTCCTTTAATATTTATTTTGACGTGAAACGTCTTTAAAATCAGACCGACACCTACAGGTCTGAAAAGTGGACCGTAACGAAATAGGTTTCATTGGGTTGGCATAGTAACCGTTGCTATTGTCTGAAGAATGAATTATATTATATAGACATTCTATCCGTTGTTATCTTCGAAGATTACGGTTGTTACTAATTTGTTTTTAAATATGCAATATATTTATAAAAAACAATAACACTAAAAGCTACTCGCTGAAATAGACGTTTCACGTTAAACCAACGGTTGTGTGCCCCGACACAGCCCCACACGATTTTTTATATTCACTTTTAAGGTCACATTCTGGGTTCTGGGGTTTTGGTTAAAAATTAAATCTCAATCATTTTTGACTTAGTATTTTGTAAAATACTGGTTGTAATTAACATATTATTTGAACGTTTAACCATATCTTATATATTACATTTATTGTTCGAACCTTCTCTACACTGATCTAAAAGCTTATTAACATTTAATGCGATGCAATGTGATGGCAGACACATTTATCATCAAGGACTGTAAATAAAGTAATTTATATGAATTATGCATGTTATATTTAAATTAAATGTTTATATACTCATATTAGATTGGAGCGTGCTGTTTTAAAGGTTAAAGTGACGAATTTTAATGTTTTTATCTTCAAAATTCAATAAAAGTTATGACATTTTCGAGTTCCAGTTAATTAGTAGGAAATAGAAACTTCACTTTTTACTGTAGATCAAATGGGTTATTCTATAGTAATATTATAAAGAGGTACTCGTAGTTTGTGACGCTTTAGGGGGTAATCTCTGGATCTACTAAACAGATTTAGATAAAATTTGGTAAGAAGATAGTTTGAGATCCTGGGAAGGACATAGGATAGTTTTTATCCCGGAAATCATTCCTTGAGGTTGTGAAAATGGGGATGAAAGCTTATATGGGGAATCAATAATCTGTATTTAACATGTACTAGAAGCCCGCATTGGCTTCCCTGGGGTTCGACCCTAGGTTTAACGGTTTAAGGTTTAACGGTTAGTATGGAATAACTAGACTATATATTATATACATATATAGCCTATAGCCTTCCTCAATAAACGGGCTATCTAATTTAAAATGAATTTTTCAAATCGGATCAGTAGTTCCTAAGATCAGCGGGTTCAAACAAACAAAAAAAACTTTGCCTCTTTGGCTTTTTATAATATTAGTATATATGCTATATACTTAAAGAAAAGTCGTTTTGTAACGAATTGCAAGTCAACTAGGGACGCGCCCGAGCGAGGGTGAGTAACCAGTTAAATATTAAAAATCTAATTAAAACCATAATGTCATTCGATAAATATCACATATTTGGCTTTAGTATGTTTTTACTGGTTTATATAAGTGTATTATTACATGACATGTTTTATGTCAATGCATGATTGCATGTTGCGTGGTGGCGTCATGCTTGAACACCTGGAACCTGTGTGTAGCTGTGTATTATTTTAATTATATGTAATATTACTTTTTTTAAATGTCGTGTGGCTTAGAAATAAAGATTAAATTTTTTTTTTAGTTAATTATATCTAAAACAAACTTTAAAGACATGTTGAGAGATAGTAACGTAATTTTTGACCAATATTTTAAATCACAATATCTATTTGTTTTGATCTGTTTAATGTATAATCAATCAATAAGTATTTACTTCTTAATTGTTTAATATACTCGTACATATAAATAATATATATAAAAATATGAAATATAATGCATTAAACGTTCAGCATAAAAAAGGCCTAACTTGTGGTATAATGTCAATTTTTTTAATAAATGTTTTTACATCAACGAGCTAATCTAATAAACAAGCTATGAAGTGAATACCAGTGAACCTTCGAGTTTGGTCTCTTTTGTTTCATTCTAACGAGTCCCAGTATATTTTTTAATTTTCTTAAAATATAATGTTTTCATGATAATCGTCTTAATGTTAGACTTTTTTGCGCTGAAATATCAACGTATGTACAGAACTTAAATTTTTCTTTGTTTTATACATCATTTATAATCAAACTTGCTCTTCTGTCCTATTAAATTCTTTCCAGCAAAATTGAAAATGTTTATAGTTTATTACCACATCCAGGATGAAGCGGCCGGGATGATGGAAGGGCTGCTGGATAAAGGCATTGCCGGTATCAAAAAGGGGCTGCGCTTTACAGGTCTCAGTGATGATTCACAAGTAAGTATAGAAATAAACTTAGGGCATTCATCAAATGCTAGAGTATTCATTAATTCATAAATAACTATATATTAATATGATGTAAAACGGGATATTTACCATGTTGATCCCATTTGACAGTTCCCGATAATGTGTGTATTGACGGCTTATTACAGTGCTGAAATATCGGAAATTTCCAAGTAAATGTTAAACATGATAAATATTTTTATTTACGTCATAATAATATTGTCAGTGATCATGAAGATCTAAAGACATATAATAACTATTTTATAACCAATGCTGAGAAAGTCGATTTTAACCATTTCCATTTGTATTATCGACTTCAAACATTGAAGCTTAAAAAAAACAATATTTTAACACCATCGAGCTGATCTAATGATAGAACGAGGAGGTGAATGTTGGAACCCTTTTATGGATACTAGCGAAACCTTTGGATTTGGGCTTACAGTTAATAGCGTATTTTTATTTTAGGTTAAACTAATTTTTTCACGGAGAATTTTTCTTTGCTTAAACCAATGCATTCAGTTTCCGTTCATTTATTATAAATTAATTATAATTACTAGGAAAAGTCTCCGGCGCATAAAGAAAAGAGTACTGAAAGGATATCTCCTTCGGATATATACAAGAACAAACAGAAACCTGAAGTCGTGATGGAAGCGAAAGAATCTTATGCGCCAAGTACTTCACAGAAAGGTAACTTGTTATTATAATGTATGCTATTTTCATTCATTTCTATACTTAAAAATTTTTCTTTTTTTATATTTGACTACTATCCTTTAGTCAGAATCGGAATCAGAGACAAATTAAAAAAAAAAGACTTCGGGTATATTATACGGACGAAGTTATCGATTTTTCATAATATACCGTACATTACGAGAAATTAAAAACAATGGCTTTCAGATGAAAACGGCACGTCGACGCCTCAGTTGATCAAACAACGTAATGTTACATCTCAAGATAGTGTGGTAAGTTTTGTGCTGTTATTAAAAAGTTTACTCAAAAACGCATATTTACAGAACTTTATTTACTATGAATCTATTCTAATAATATAAAGAGGAAAAAAAATTGTTTTTTTTTTATTGTTTGTTTATAAACTATATATATACTCGATATATCGAATAGGCTCCGAAACTATCGAACCGAATTAGACGAAATTTGGTAAGAAGATAGTTTGAGACCCTTTTTTTTTTTTTTTTTTAACGTTGGGAAATGCATTTAATAATAAAAGCCATAAAAGCCAGTACTACCCACTAAAACCCAACAAAACCATCCCCCGTCTTAATGGGGCGTCGCAGGACCACAACAACCACGGGGTTGCTCCACAGTCCACTCTGCTATAGGGTTGGGTTGCCGGGCGCGAAGCCAAAGCGTTGACCTAGTGACGAACCCGAGCGAAGCGAGGGTGAATTGCTAGTATACAATAAAATGAAACGAGACACTTACGAATTTGTATAAATATCTAATATAATAAAACGTGTCTAATAAAAATTTATTATTTATTTATTATTTAGTATAGATTTTTATACTGAAGTAGGTATATCTTTAATTGTTATGATAACTCTTGCATTTGGTGATTTCCGTTATTATCAAAGGCGGTCACCTGATTTCCTCCTGACCAATTTCGGCTACAGTGGTCAACCCCACTGAGACTAACTAACTGCGCCGGAGACATTATAATGCAGCGTGTGTGTGAGAGAGAGATCGTGCACTCTCTTCTCTTAACAGAAAACTCAAGTAAACTTGGTTTGACTCGGGAGTCGAACCAAGAGAGTTACCGAGGCAATCACCAAGTTTGTGTATATGGAATCAGGAGCCGACATCTTTTTTGAAAAAAAACAGCAAACTTTTAAAGTTCTCGAATTATTCGTAAAATGACCATTTTGATTATTACAATAATTAATTATTCAGGATAGCACTTTAATATTAACACGATTCAGCATGTGCACCGGGCGACCGCCGTCAAACGAATGTGCATGCCGCCTTTTATAGAGTTTCGGTGGTGGGGGGTTTGCCCGTCGCACTAGCGCGTGTGACGTGCTGCTCACAGAGTTAGGTGGCGCGCCGTCATATATATGTTTGTACCGTGTGTGGTGATGGCAGCGCTTCGGGGAGGGAGGGTCGCCGGAGCCGCAGTACGAGGAGGCGGCCGACCTGTCCGCCTCCATCGCCAAGCTGCGCTCGCTGCTGCAGCACGCGCAGCCCAGGTGCGGCCCCCACCCTCACACCTCATACTATTCATACTTTCTTAGATTTACGCGAATATTTGACATTTTAAATAAAATTATCTTTTCGGATTATTTTATGGATTTATATAACCTCTGCTTTAGAAAAGGTATTTTTCCTAGTCCTCTAAAGCAGGCTATTATTACGCCTGTTCATAAAGGTGGGGACAGAGACGACATAACAAATTATAGACCTATTTCAGTATTACCCTCAATATCCAAAATAATAGAAAAACTTATTAATATTAGGCTTTTAACATACCTTAAAGATTATAATATCATCTCAAAATCACAATATGGATTTCGTCAGGGCATTTCCACCGAGCACGCAGTAACTGCACTAACTAAAATTGTAACAGAACAATTAGACAACGGTAAACCGTGTCTAACTGTATTCCTTGATCTAAAAAAAGCTTTTGATACTGTCTCTGTCCAAATTCTTGTAAAAAAGCTTGAACATATTGGGATACGTGGAATTCCACTACAGCTCTTAAATGACTACCTCTCAAATAGGAAGCAGAAAGTTAGGGTTACTCATTACACAAGTGAATATACAGACGTATCATATGGTGTTCCGCAAGGCAGTGTCGTGGGACCTACTCTGTTTGTCATCTATGTAAACCAGCTCTGTAATATACAACTAACAAATACTAAGGTATTCTCATATGCTGATGATACAGCTCTAGTCTTTACGGGTAATTCTTGGCACGAGGTACGGCTTAATGCCGAAATAGGGTTGGCTAAAGTAGCCAGGTGGTTGTCTAAGAACCTACTCACACTGAACATTTCTAAAACAAATTATATATGCTTTAGCATATGTAAACGTAAACAACCTAGAGAAGATTTCAATATAAAAATACATCTGTGTAATAATGATAAAGGCACTACCTGCAGTTGCTTAAATATAACGAGGGTTCCATGTGCTAAGTATTTGGGTGTTTTCATTGACCAGAGATTATCTTGGCATTCTCAAATCGATCATGTGGCAAACAGAGTCAGAAAATTGAGCTGGATGTTTCGGTCCCTAAGAAACATAGTCCCTAAACAAGTTTTTAGCAGCTCATCTCGCCCCAGGAATCTCTTGAATGAAATATATTTTGCCTTAGTACAATCAGTGCTATCATATTGTATCCCGATTTGGGGCGGAGCTGCTAAAACGAAGTTTATTGAACTTGAGAGAGCACAACGTGCTCTAATAAAATGTATGTACTTTAAAAAACTTACATTTCCAACTGAGAATCTGTACCAAGTTAGCAAACTGCTCTCAGTTAGAAAGCTGTATATTACTCAAACTATACTAAAAGTACATAAGGCTGTTTTCTATGATGCGTCTTTAACATTAAAAAGAAGGAAAGAAAATATAATTAAAATCCCACAAACAAGAACAACATTTGCGTCAATGCAATTCGATAAAAGATCTGCACAATTATATAATAAAATTAACAGTATAATTTATGTTTACCCCTACAATTACCATAAATGCAAAAAGACATTAATAGATTGGATAAAAACCCTTAGTTACAATGATACGGAAAAACTGTTAGAACATATTCATTAAATACTTACACACGCACACACACACACGCACACTCACACACAATACACAAACAAATATATGTACGCTAATTTTTATTTTTTATTTTTTGTTTGTCTTAATTGATCTATTTAAGTTTGTAGTATCACCCATAATATTATAATCAGCTAAAAGATAAAATTACTTTTTTATGAAAGGGCGGGGTCTCCTAATACAGGCAAATTATTTGCTTAAAAGGGGATCTCAACCACAAAATTTGAAATTTTGATTAGATTTGAAATAAATAAATAAATAAATTTTAAATTAATCAATTAATTATATGTAAATTTTTATTTCAAATGTAAATGTATATTGTTATCTAATTTATAGTTTTTATTGTTGTTGTGTTATAATAAATAAATTATTATTATTATTATTATTATTATTATTATAGCTTTTTGTAAAATAGTGAGTAGGCACTGTCTGGAACCAGTATATAACGCCTTTGAGACGTCTACAACCTTAGTCTCTCCCGTGACTATGATTGCTATAAAGCATTTGATACGTCGGGAACCAAAAGTAAAATAATTCGAAAAGATAGTTTTATCTAAAACGTTATATTATTTATTTTTTTCAAGTCTTTTGACACTGTGTATTATATTATCTATACTGTAAAGTAAATTTTATAAAGATCTGGTATAAATGTGTATTTGGTTTTTTATGTTTTAAAAACTAAACAGATTCGAGTAAAATATAAAAAAGAATTTTTAATGTCCTGGTAATAATATATAGGGCAGGCCACGCCAAAATTTTTCGAATTTTAAAAATGAAAACAAAAATATAATTTTATTTTTCTTAAATCGAAAAAAAAATAGTACATAATTATGGAAGGCCCACTACCGGACTGGGATTAAAAGTTACATGTTGGATATAAGTTTAAAATAGAAAATTTTCAAAAAAATCGAAGGATACACACAGTTTTAAAAACACGATTGAAAACTTAAAATGCAAGTCTCGATTAAAACATTTTAAATATTACTTTTTTAATTTTTTTATGTAAAGGAAGGAAGGTCATCACAAAATAAAAATAAAAAAAAAATTGAACTTCGACCATTATTCAGAAAGCTATGAGCAAAAAACCACAAAAAGCGGTTTTTTTGAAAATTCGATATTTTTGAACCAGTGATCAAAAAATCTTGAAATTTACCAGAAAAGAGGTAGGTTGGTAAAATACCAAAATATTAAGAAAATCAAAAATATTTTTTTTGAAACTATCCGATTTCTCGCTGAATGCCCCATATGCATTATGCATTATTATATATACATTTTTTCAACAAAAAAATGTATAAAAAATATTAGGCATTCTGCTTAAATATATTGTATGTATAAAAGTGTACCGCCGGCAGGGAGGAGGTGTGGTGGGAGGGCGCGGAGGAGACGCGCGGGCGCGCCGCGCTGCGCGCCTCCTCGCGCCCCGTGGACGCCGCCGCGCTCGCCGGTACGTACGCGACACCTAAATAATTCAGAAGTTTCTAATATTTTTTATGAATTGTACTCAGCCCTTCTTATTGTCCCACTGCTGGGCACGGGCCTCCCTGCAATACGAAGGGAATCAGGCCATAGTCCACCACGCTGGCCAAGTGCGGGCGGACTGAGCATGTCTTTCGATAACTTGTTAGGTTATCTCAAACATGCAGGTGTCCTAACGATATTTTCCTTTACCGTAAGACAAATAGAAATCATGTTGAAAATTATTTACACATGAAAATATCAGAGGTGCGAGACCCGGGATTCAAACCCGCTTCACTCGGTTATCCAAGCGAACGCGTCACCACTGAGCTACCACTGCCTTACTTATTATGAATTAATTATAAAAAATTAAGTAAAACATAACAAAAATATGAAAAAAATATATTAAAATAACAGATGAAAAAATTATAAAACATTAAAATTGCGCTTGCAAGAATAATTTCGTGACTTCACACGACCTGAATGACCGTTTAAACTAAAAACTACACACCAATAAGTAAAAAACAAGCAGTTGTACACTGTGTCACACTCGAGTTAAAATACTTATTGCATTTATTGATACATTACAAAAAATTATTCACGCATTTCTTTGTTCTGATCTATATTACAATTCTATTGCGATAAATATGATATTAACAACATCATGAAACTTCTCCATTAAAACCATTCTTTAAACAGGAGTACATTTATTAATAAATTGGTGTTAAATTCCAGAAAAAGTATCAATATGCATTAAATCATTTACTGCAAAAGTTGTAACACAAAAGGTCACATGTATTCGTTTGGTAGTTTTTAACTTATAATTATAATTTTAATTCCAGACGAATACGACATGAGCCTGGAGAGAACTGCGTCGCCGGGACAGACGTCCAACAACATGCAGAGACTTGACAAGTAAATATATATTATTTTTTATAATTATGTTCTATATGTTTTTGGATGTATGTATATGTGTATTTGAAATCTAGAAGACAATACAAGAATTTCTTACGGACGAGATGATCTTATGATAAATGCGAAAATAACTTTGTCTGTATCTTACCTTTATACGCCTAATCGCGCTGAACCGATTTAGATATACATAGGATAGTTTTCAGAAATCGTCCCTTAAGGGGAATAAGAGGGGGAGGAGGGGGAGGGGGTGTGGTTGTAAAAATTTGTATTAATCAATCTTTCTCAAGTAAGGAATATATTTTTATTATTTTTCTATACCTATATATGTACATATATATAGTGTATATACATACAAAGAGAGGCGTGTGCCAGACTGTTCCAGCGTACGGTGACGGGCGTGTTCAACTCGCTGAAGACGGCGGTGGGCGCGGAGGCGGAGGCGGAGGCGGAGGCGGGCGCGGGCGCGGGCGCGGCGCCGCGCGCCTGGCTCTACGTGTGCGCCGCGCCCGACCGCGCGGTACCCGCCACCTTTGTTACGACACGAGACACCACGAAAAAACCATAAAAAATTACTATGGTTTTTTTATTTTTTATTCATGATTTTCCCGAGCATTTCTCTCGTGATTATGAGTGCTGTAAAGCATTCGAAGTATCGGACACCAAAAATCAAAATAAATCTATGAAAATATCCGAAAAGATAAATTTGTTTAGTATATTCGTATAAATCTAAGAAAGTATTACTATATCTTAATATATAGTTTATATTTTAATCTGAGCTATATTACTGTTAAGTTTCATCAAAATCCGTTTAGTAGGCTTTATATAAGAGTTACAAACATACATCCCATATAACTTCAAAAATGTTTGCAATAATTATAATATGAATGCTACAATTTCCTTTTGACCAGTTTCGGTTACAGTGGCTCATCTCAGACTTACCGAGACTAACTAATCATGCGGGCCGTATCATAGTCACAAGTACCTCCGTCTAGCTACACTCATTTATCATCATCATTGTACACTCGTACACTGCAATATCTCCTATGCATTTGGTTAGTCTCAGTGAGATCGGCCGCCGTCGCCGGAATCGATCGAGAGTACATCTTTTTTGAAATGAGTATATTGTATATACGTATCGGTATGACGGTGTGGTGTGTGCGCGCGGCAGACGGGCGCGGCGGTGGCGCGGCTGGTGGGCGCGCGGCGCGCGCTGGCGCACGTGGACGCGGCGCTGGACCCGCTGCGCGCGCTGCCGGCGCCGCGCGCGCGCACGCACTGCCCACTCGACCTGGGTAACCTGCATGCACACACACACACACACACACACACCACACACGCACACACGCACACACGCACACATACACGTACGCGTTAAAAGTTAACACGTCACAGATGTTTTACTGTTTATTTTGGTTATCTGAATTTCTTTACGAATTTGTTTAGTTATTCTTAATGAATAACTAAAGTAATCGATTTCTGTGTTTTGTTCGAAATTCTTATTTTAATCGAAAGAATATTTGTATTAGATTTTTTTTGCTGTAAAGTGATAGTGTATCTCTTTATTCAGGATATAGTAAACTGTCTGTAATTTAAATTTACTCGATATATGTATATGGAAATACACACATACATATATTCAATTATATTTTTTCGTCTCATTATTATATTGGTATAATAATAAACTCAACTTGTATTCTTTTTATTATATGCACATATGTAAGTTCTAAGTATCTATGCAACATATAGATAGATACTTAAACCTATCAATATAAATCAATTTTATTGTCAATGTTTTAAATTTAAAGCGGTCTACATAAGCAACATTTATTACACAATTGACTATAATTGCAATAAATTAAACATATATCCAACACCCAACCACCCGCGGGCCCGCAGAGGAGTGGTGCGTGTCGGCGGGGGCGCGCTGGGGCGCGGCGGCGGGCGCGGGCGGCGCCGCCGGCCTGCTCGCCTCGCACCTCGCCTTCCGCCTCGCCACGCTGCTCGCCGCCGGTAATGCATCATTTTTTATAACAAACAATCTGTTGTTTATATCGAATAAGCTCTGAAACTACTGAACCAATTTAGATAAAATTTGGTAAGAATATAGGTTGCAACCCTGAAAAAGACATAGGATAGTTTTATCCCGGAGAAATCCTTTAAGGGAGTGAAAATAGGGATAAAAGTATGGGGAGGCATCCTATGGATGAACCCGAGCGAAACGAGAGTGAGTCGCTAGTCAAATACACACTCATTCATTCGTTTAAATCTTTCTGACTGATTATAGTCGCGAGTCAATAAGATGAGACATCTGAGGAACAAATCCATACTCGCGAAGAGAGATCGGATGTAACTTATTTTGCCTGGATACAAAGATGTGTAACGTCGCCATCTTCTTAAATCCCTTATGCTACTGCCAATTTTTTTTATAGAGAAACATAATAACTGTGTTTAGCACAACCGAGGACTTGAACTCAAAATCTGCTGCCGTATATGCTATTAAGCAAAAGCAGTTAGCTCTATTTTACACAAGTCCAGACATTACCGCCTACTTATTACCATATCACACCAAATATAAATTGTGTCAAAATAGAAACAACATTTTGTAATCATAGGAAACTAAATTTTTCTAATTCAACCAACCAAGATAAAGGCTTTTAGCGTACACTCCAAATAACCAAGAAAAATGAATTGTTCTTCTTTCACTTTTTCTATCGATTCATTTTTACTTTTTTTTTCTTTACTTTGGTTCAAAGCGACATCAAATAATAATAATTCACAAGTTATTCTACCGATAACAAACAAATAAAATTTACAGATATCGCCGAATCCCTAATATGCATGTGGCTAGAAGAGCTGACGGCGTGGATCAAAATGGAAATATTCGCGTACTTCGAGCAGCTGTCGGCGCCCGGCGCGCGGCCGCGGGCTGCGCGGGGCCTGCGCCCCTTCTGTGTGGAGGAGACTTGTCAGATCATTTTGGAGAAAATTCCTGGTTCGATTGAATTTATAAACGTTTTTCTTGGTCAATATTGTTTTTAGTAGAAAAAATATCCCATAATATCTTCGTAACTGATTTCGGACACGTCACCCAATCTCACTGAGACTAGCCATCTTCACAGGCGATATTATAGTGTTGCGCGTGTGTCGTGTGTCGGTGTGCGCGCAGACACTACGTGCACTCTCTATTCCTGTCACTCTCATACTCCGGTGAGATGATAGTTCGACACTCGAGTTAAGGCGCAGGACTGACGAGACACGTGCTCTTCGAGGCACGAGGGTGAAACACCGCCAATTTCCCAACTGCGACCTGTCACTGAGAATATCTTTAAAAGAACTACTCAGTAATTAAATTTGACCCGACACGAGACACTAACCCAAGACCTCCTGATCAGCAGCAGTACATGCTAGCTACTAGGCCACCGACCACTTAGCGCAGTATAATTAAAATAATAACGATGTCCAAAACCATGATAATTAAAGCAAACACGTAATCGTTTCAGAAACCTATCTGTTCAGCGAGAAAACCTTATCAGAAGCGGTACATCTGGTGGTGACCAGCTTCAGCCACAAAGCGGTCAACAAGGACGTGGTGTTCCGAGCGCTCGACGTCTTCACCGTGCACTTCAAGAAGTCTGCTGGACTCAGGAACCCTTCCTTTGATAATAATTAAAGAAAAATAAGTGAAATTTCATTTTTTTTAAATCTTTTTTATTCTAAAATAGTATTGTCAGTATGGTTTTTCAGTTATTGCGAATAAAATATTAATTTATGATCTAAAACTTGGATGTAAAAGAATTTAAGAAGCGTAAGCAAAGCAAGGGCGTGTCGCTCGTATAATTGTTATTGTATCTGATTTGTTAATGTACGCACGTTATTTTTCATTGATTTAGCAATTGTGATCTCAAAAAGCTTTAATTTTTATTTTTATAGTTTGAGTGAATTTTCAAGAAAAAGAATTTTTCAGGCTTAATTAGTTTTTTTTGGAATATATTTTTAAATAAGTTCGAGTTCCAATTAAATTAAAAAAAAAGTTTTTTTTGTGTAGTCATTTTTAGTTAAAATTTTACTACTATAGTTTGTCGGCATTGATTATGGGATATGTATCTGTGGGATGACTATCCGAGATTTTGTTAGGTTTCTATGGATGAGCGGCTCAACTAATTTTGATGTAATTTGTTGTGGCGATATCATAAACCTTATGGAAGGGTTCTGACTTAATGATATATCCACTGACAAGAGAAAGGCGAAATGAACAGTCCCTAGAAGAGCTTCTTAACCCAGAATAAGGGACTACGAAAAAATGTTAAAGAATATTGTAATATATAAATGTTTCTTAAAAATGTTATGATGATTAAGATTCTGAATGTATAAATAAAAAACTTAATATACCATAAACCATGTTTTATTTCTCCATTTTGAAGTTCACGCCTTAAGTACAATAATATCACAGAGTCGGCGCTATATGTTTCATTCGTTCATTCACTCATACCACCTTTTACATATAAACTTTGAGTAGTTACAATAAATTCGATTATACTTAATAATATAATTATAGTCAAAAAATATGTAAATATTTATAAAAATATTAAAAAAAAAAACATTATTAAGTATACAATTTGTAGTTAACATATTGAGATTTCTTGAAAAAAAAATAGTTACACGAAATAATAAGTCGTCATTTAAAAATAAAACAATATAAAACGTATGTACCGCAGCCAACTAGATTAATTAGACGCCGATTAATCATAAAGCTTAAATGGTATCTAGCCAATGCGTCTACAATTACATATGACGAACGGGTTAGCAGACGCTTAGGCAGTTCATAGAATGTCACGAAAATATGTGAAATATATTTTAATATTGATAATTATTTATTTATGTACAATAAATGAACTGTTTATTGCACCGCTTACTCGCAAAAATGGTGGTTCGGTAACCACAACGACTATAAGTTATAGAAAAAAAAGTGCTTTAGAAGAATCCAAATATTAAATGAAAAAATAATAAATGTCATTAAACGACATTGAACCATGTCACTTGCCTAGCTGTTAAATTAAATGCGGGGATGTCATTAGGCCGCTAACTAAACGGCACTGTTCAAGGAAAAGGTTAGGCTGCAAATCAAACGGCTGCTTAAAGTAGTTGGCTGCGACATATGCACTACTAAATGCATAACTTTAAACATTTAAAATAAGCATCGCCGTGTCTCCCACTATCATTGTCAATAATTGATCGTGGATTATAAAATTTGACCGACTTCAGGGAAAGAGGTACTTAATTTGTGAATGATTTTTGTATATATTTTACGCGATATCTTCAACAATGTGGACCGATTTTTATAATTCTTTCAATATATAGCCATATTTATAGATTCATTTTGAAGTCGATGTAATTTTAGGTACAAAGGAAATTATAACACACACATTCAAGTTGTTATCGTACCAGCGATACCAAATTATGACACAACTTAGTGTTATATAATAATAAAAGGTTTCTATGATTTTATTCAATTTAACTGAACTAAAATGACCATAATATTACATATTCCAGTTTTAGTTCAGATAATTATATATTAGAGTATATTTGGCAAGATGTCACAGCGAGGTGACGCTGTCCAGCTCCTCACAGCCGCGCGCGGGCGGCGGGGGCTCCTCCGCGCTCTCCAGGATGCTGGTCCTCTCGGTGAAGTTTAGGAACATCTGGACAAGATTAGAATGTCGTTTATGATTTACAATTATGTAATTTTTTTGCTGTCTGTATTATTTATTTTTGATATTTATATCTTCACGTGGTATAGAATTTTTTTTTAATATTAAATATAATCTTATTATTATTTAGTAAAAGCTATAAATAAATATTTATTTATACAGGAAAAGATATGGACCTGTTCGAGCGAGCTCTGGTTGACGGTGTAGTCTTCGATGTCGCAGCTCATCTGCAGCTCTGCGAGGAGACGGAAGACGTCGCTCAGATTTGTTTCTATTTCTTTGCCGTCAACTGAAAATGAAGATTTTAATTACATAATGATAAAACAGAATGACTGTTTATCTACACAGTGTATTTAGCTTTTTTTGACGCCTCACTGCTGGGGCTTCAATACTGAATACAAGTGGGAAACAGGTCATAGTTGGTCATATCAACATGGCTGCCTGATTGACTGATTAGTTTTTGAATTGCTTTTTTATAGATTAAGATATTTTTTCCTGTATCGATTACTTATTAACTCCTAATAGTTTTTAAGGTTTATTTAATGTACAGACACAGCTTTGTTACAGTTTTATTATATGTATAGAATAGACAATACCGGTGGCGTGCGCGGGCAGCAGGAAGTGCAGCGCGGCATGGTGCAGCACGCGCAGCGCGGCGGCCGGCGCGGCGCGCGCCACGCGCGCCCACGCGGCGCTCGCGCGCCCGCGCGCCGTGCGGCACGCCACCACGTAGCCGCCGCCGAACCTGCGCGCGGAAATATCCGATATTAGATTTACATTCTGCTCTTTTTAATGCCATTACTAAGCACGTTCATTCGTAATCCGCCACTCTAGCCAAGATGGGTTGGCGGACCGCACATGCCTTTTGAAAACTTGCTTTTTATTTTATTACATAATATTATCTCCTTTGATCTCGCGGCTAGCTTACACGAGCGCCGATCCGGAGGTTTTGGGTCGAACTTAGTTTAGTTACTAACACTTTCTTTTAAGAAATTATTAGGAATATTTTGAAATTCAGGAGTTCTAGGTGTTTCCCCGTGACTTGGAGTAGCTGTCGGTCATACGTCCGATTTTTCACCGCTCATGTCGAGCTGTTATCACATCAGAAGCAAATAAAATGGAGTGAATTATGTTGACGCATATTTATGTTATATAATATCTCCTGCACAATAGTCTAGTCTTAGTGAGATGGTTGCTGTGACTGAAACCAGTCAGAAGGACATTGTTATCTCAATAATATTATAATTAAAAAAGGATACATATTGTTGGCTCACTATTACAAGGTTCTATGTTAATTTTAATAAAGTTTAGTAATTTTTACATAGAACCTCGTTATTTTGTTTTCGTAAAAACAACAACATAGAACTATGTAAAATTGAATATTTTGTAGTTATAGTGCCGCTATCTAGTGGTTTGTTTTTGCAAAACTGTAGTTAATGACACATAAAACCTTGTAGTATTAATAACTAAATAAGTACTAAAATTGTAACATAGAACCTTGTAATTGTGAGCCAACGAATTATGTATGCTTATTGTTTCTTCATGCTGAAACGGCTAGATAGATTAGGATGAAATTTCCTACAGGGTAGCCTATAACGTGTAGTAGCACATAGGCTAATGTTAGGCACCTAGGGATCCTTCCTGATGTGTGTTAACCTTGTCGTGGAAGGGAAGAGGGTCATTAGGGTCCGGCAATTCAGACGGCATGCAGCCAAGAGACACACTAGGACGCGAATCATGCGAGTCGTTGTCGTAGTCTGCTTCAGCAGATCTGCCGTCTCGGGATGTCGTAGTCGAGTGCTTAAGCGATCCTGCGACGCCCAATTAAGACGGCGAAGGTTCTGATGAGTTTTAGTGAGTAGTACTGGCTTTCTAGCCAGCGAGTCCCACATAATCACCTGTATGTATACAGTGGTATGCGTAAATGCATTTCCCAACGTTAACAAAATACACGTAGGGTACATACCGGCGCAGGCAGTCGTCGAGCGGCGCGACGGCGACGAGGCGGCCGGCGCGCAGCAGCGCCACGCGCGCGGCGGCGCGGCGCGCGTCCTCCAGCGCGTGCGTGGCCAGCAGCACGCCCGCGCCCGTGCGCGCGCCGCACCGCCGCACCGCGCGCGCCACGCCCGCGCGCGACATCGGGTCCATGCCGCTGCCGAAGCACGCACAGTTGTATATTTTGCTCATTTATTTATACATATAATTTAGTATAAATGAACGAAATCGTATATCGGTTTTAGGAATATGTTATGTAAGATGTTTTTGAAGATAAAAAAATAATTTAAAATAAAATTAATTAAAAAACAGGTTAACGGTTCAAGTAGGCGTAATAAAAAATAACTCCGAACTATATTTCATTCAGTCAAATACTACACGGGTATTACTTAGCGACTGTGAATTATAAAGAAACATATTTTTAATTCATAGAATATAATAAAACCTTTAATAATATTTTTTTCTACACAAAGTTTTCAATAAACAAAAAAATAATCAAAAGAATACATCACGTGACGCCGCGCTGTAGTTCACGTGTACAGGAACGCCACCTATCGGACACAAATATCAAGAAGCACGCGGTCACCTGGTGGGCTCGTCGAGCAGCACGAGCGGCGCGCGCGACATGAGCGCGGCGGCGGCGCACAGCTTGCGGCGGTTGCCGCCGCTGAGCGCGGCGCAGCGCACGCGCGCGAAATGCCGCAGCCCCAGCGCCTGCAGCGTGCGCCGCACCGTCTGCGCAACGCACGACACGAACATGTCAACACATATGTATTATAAAACTCGCTTCGCTCGGATTCATCCCTAGGTACGTTTTAATTTTTTTGAACGGAACGCTAATCCTTTTTCTAAAATAAAAGTAGCCTATGTTACTCCCTATAACATCAACTATCTTCCAGTGAAATTTCCGTCAAACTCAGTCCAACCGTTTCAGAGGTTATCCGGTACAAACAAACAGGCAGACAGACAAAAATTGAAAAAAATATTCTTTGTAAGCTACCGGAAGGCAAACATTTCTGAATTAAGGCTTTTTTAAGTACTGCTATAATATTATTAATGCGATGGACATAGGGGTACATATATACTTTATTTGCACCAATATAAACAGAAATGCATCTTACTGAACTATATCTATAAAAACTTACCTCTTCCCTATTATCAATACCCCGCAACATGCAGAAGTATATTAAAGTTTCTTCCACCGTCATCATCGGATCCACGGCGTCAGTTTGTGGACAGTAACCTATAAGAGAATCCATAGATAAATTAAAAAGTTCTTATTTCATCGTCATCTTGGCTACTAATTAGCTACTACATATACAAACTACATATTACGAGCTATGCCCACTACCACTTTTTATTTTTGTGAATTTGTCGCAAGTTTGAATCGTTAACAATGCGAACAATATGTATTTTTTAAAATTTAATAACGCAGATTATAGAAAGCAAACGTTCATGATACGGGTGTCGTCGAAGCCGTTTTCGTATATGGTTTGCTATATAAAGAAAGTACTTTTACCGTATCAGGCTTTGCCGTTCGATACAACCATATGCCTACTTCGGTAAGCTGCTACGTGTGAACTCACTCACTTATTCGCAGCTAATGCTATTCTCCCCAGAGTAACAAATAAGGAGGCACGAAAAATCCGAAAATATAGTTTTATTTAAAATGTCAAATATTCGCGTAAATCTAAGAAAGTATTAAGTAAAGAGGAGTGCAACTGACTGATGTGTCCCTGGCAGAGGTCCCTTGGGGCGGCACGGCGGCCGCGCAGCAGCACGTGGCCGGCGGAGGGCCGCAGTTGGCCGGTGAGCAGCGCGAACGTCGTGGACTTGCCCGCGCCGTTCTCGCCCAGCAGCGCCGTGCACTGCGCGGGGAGACTGTGTTACTAGCATTCTCTATAAATTGGGGGCTTAGACAAGACTCTGCGACCCTACATGGTCTACTATGTCAGTGGGGTAAATTTATCGTATCACAATCAGAATAGACTACCTGACAATATTGGTGGATTTTCGACGTCAGGACCATCGCTAATTAGAATAATTAAGTTGGATTTGTGTCAACAAATATTATGTTTTTCAAATAAAATTAGGGATTTAGGGTTTATCAATCAAATTTCCAATTATTAAGCGCATTAAAGATAAAGGGTTTACGTAACAAAGTGAAGTAAGCGAGCACCTGTCCGGGCGGCACGCCCAGCGTGAGCGCGTGCAGCGCCACGTGCGGCCCGTAGGCGCGGCGCAGGCGCAGCGCGGCGCACGCGTCTGCGCCCGCGCCCTCCAGCTCCCGCTCCCGCTCCCGCTCCCTCTCCTTCTCCGCCCGCGACAGCGACAGCGAACCTTTCTTCATCATGTCCTCTGTGTCTACGAACCCTGTGGATAGATATAGTAGGCGCTTGAGAAACCAGGTGAAGCAGATTTAAATTTTGGGTTAAATATAAATGGTCTTTAAAAGACAGTAGTTACTTTAGTTGCAATAATGATATATTATAATAATAATTACGAAATCTTTTGTATAACACCATTGTACAAAAACATTGTGATGTAGATTCTAGTGTAACAAATAAGATATAAGGTAATTAGGGACGCTCCTGAAGTTAGAGTAGAAAGTAGAAGTAGAGAAGAAATAACAAAAAGTAACAGCACTAGTTACCAGCGTTAATGTTGCCGATGGTGTGCAGGCGCAGCGGGCGCAGCGGGCGCAGCGGGCGCAGCGTGGCGCGCACGCGGCGCTCCTCCGCGCGCACGTCCGGCGCCTCCTCCTCCGCCCCCTCGGCCTCCTCTGGCGGACCGCGACGACATCTGACGAATAAATATTGCAATTCTTTACAACATACTTTTGATAGCAAGTTAAAATGTACAACTTCTCAGATTTTTTCACTCTTTTTTTGTAACTATGTTATTGAATCTTGGTAGTAGATTTTAATCTACTGCTTCAGAACTGATTTGATAACGAGTCAGGAAATGTAGAGTCTTCAGTGCTTACTAGTAAAATTTAGTTTCGAGTTTAGGCTCATTTTATTCATATTGATGATCTCATATATCACATTGATTCATAGGTTATTTATTTTAATACTACATATTTATATTATATGTGTATGTGACCCAAGCACAATTATTTAAATATATAATTGCCATTATAAGATTGTTTATATTATTGACGTTACACATTTTTGATTCAATATGAATATTATCTTTAGAAAAATGGCGATCATCAAAAGGCTGCCGATCTCACTCTACGCTTGAAGTCAATCCAAATAAAAATTATATATTACATAGGAGTCTGCCATATTAATCAGAAGATAAGGTTAACGTAAAATATAATAACATTACAGCAATCCTCACCTGCTTAATATAAATTCAAAGCAATCATATTCGATGGCCAAGTTGAGTGCCAACAGCAAAGTGCCGACTAGCACGAGCGCGGCGTAGTGGTAGCCCACCACGTTCTCTGACAACGGGTCACGGTAGGTGTCCATAGCGAATTGACTAAGAACCTGTAAGAGTACGGTATTATTTATGTAATCATTTGTTCAAAAAATATAGGTGCGCGATAAATAATTATTTAATGGGCGATTAAGAGTCAATGTAGCCTAACAAATGTTAGAATAGAAAGGAAATACTGAGATATATGTACGTGTTTCTTAATTCGACCTTTTTAAAATCTTACAAAAAAGCCCAGTAACTTACCTTGGGCAGATTCTGTACTCGAATTTGGGACTGTCGTATCTATAGCGGTCCAAGCTAAACATTGGACCATATGTATATAATACTAAATATATATATATATATATATATATATATATATATATATATATATATATATATATATATATATATTTGTAAAGACAAGATATTATTTTGGTAATATATAAAAATCTGAAATAATGTAAACCAACCTCAGCTTGTATAGTATTTTTGGCGATCTCGAGCAAGCCGTCCCCGAGCGCGAACTGCGGACTGAGGAGCAAGATCTTGTGCAGCACCCACCGCGCGTGGTCCGTTGCCTGCGACAGGGCGGTATGTATGGCTGAAGTGAGTCGATTAAGGATCGAGCAATTTGTAGGACAATCACCCATCGACATTTACTTTAAAATTCTGCAACTCATTAGAGCCTATGTAGAATAACTGGTTTAAATAACAATATTTGTAGTATGTTTGTTTGCTTAGCGAGTTGAATTCGAACCACTTCTATCCTACAGAGTCGTCATTTTCAATGATTCAATCGAAACATCGATTGAAGATAACCAAGCGTATGCAAAAGCTAGTAGTAATATATAATTGAATTCCAACAGTGTGTGTGTATACGTGCGTGTGCGCGCAAGTGTATGTGCGCGTGTCTTTGAAGTCATGTGTGTGTGCATTTGTATGCACGTGTATGTATAGTATATTTACGCATGTATATTACGTGTGTGTGTGTGTGTGCGCGCGTGACTCACGTCGGAGTCGGAGATGACGTCGAGCACGATCAGCGCCGCGATGCCAGCGAGGCCGGCGAAGGCGTTGCCGCAGAACAGCAGCATGCTGGCCAGGCTCGCCTCGCGAAACGCCTTCTCCGCCACGTGCACCAGGTTCGCGCACGCGTAGCTACGGTACACACCATATATTTGAAAAAATATGTATGTATGTGTATGCGCACTACTCATAGTTCTAAAGAATTATAAGACGACTGGACAGATTCGGATGGAATTTATTATACAGACAGACTATGATCTGGAGTAATACATTGGTATTTAAAGATTTATGTCATTGTGCTTTTTACTTCGATATTTAAAGTGCCAAGATTAATATAATGATCAAAAATAAATATGGCATCCTCAGCATTGCATGCTAATGAAAATCATAATTTCTTGCATAAGGATAAGCTATTAATTACTAGACATTATATGAACATATCGAACCCGTAGAGCATGATGAGTATGCAGATGGCGGGCAGGTTGTTGCGCGCCACGAACACCGGGAAGTGGAACACCTCCAGCACTATCGCCGTGATCACCATGTTGATGAAGATTATCTGGAATACAAATTACATTTTATTGTAATTTATATTTAATATTAACATTAGGCTATTTCGTCTAAATATTTCAAATCATTTAAATCAATTCAAAATCAAATCAGATTCTACTTTATTCAAATAGATTTTTACAAGACTTTTGAATTGTAAATTTTGACATTTTAAATTTAAATTAAATGTCAGTATGTAAGTTCGTGAATCATCGCTTCGTAAGGCTGAAAAGAAAGAGAAGAGAGATTTGCTGAGGTGAGCCGACGAGAAACTCTACAGTTTCTCTTTATAAGTACAATATTATTCACAATTTTATTTTATTTAGGTTTACAATAAAAAAAAAATACTATTCTGAATTAGTGCTTGATAACGTTCCACCTGATGGTATATGGTAACGCAGTCGTAGATGGTAAATCGCACTAATTCAGTAGCCACCTATTCACTCTTGCCTTGAAGACACCCATATTGTAATCGGACGAAAACACCGACGCAGGCAAGTTGTTCCAATCCTTAGCCGTACGTATAATAAATGACGTAGCGAAACGCTTCGTGCGGACGAGTGGAATGTCCACGACATAAGGATGGAAACCAGCCGTTCGTCAGGTTGTCCGATGATGGAAAGGGGATGAAGGGATTATAGGTTAATAAAATAAATTTAATGTTGAAGATGGTTAAAAACCAGTTTAAACTAGCATACAAATAAATTACGCGTTAGCCTTGCACTTATAATACTTTCCATGCGAGTTTAACCGATCAGATATATAAGAAAGCAAAAAAAATGTCCAAAAGCTAGAGTCATAGGAATGAGTAGGGTAAGCACTGACCATGAGGTCCCAGAGCAGCGCGGCGGCGCAGAGCGCGGCGGGCGGCGCGCCCGCCAGCAGCGCGAGGCGCACGCGCGCGCCGCGCCGCGCCGCCACCGCGTACAGCGCGCCGCCCGCGCCCGCCAGCGCGTACGCCACCAGCACCATGCCCGAGATGCCCGCGTCCGCGATGTGCTGGTACCTGCCGGCGACGGGGACGGGCATATCGCACTTTATTTATTTGTTTATTGAGTCTACCGGCGACTTTACATAATTAGTATTCCTATTGTAATATTTAGATGTAACACTACATGTACAGGGTATGTAAAATCATGTAAAGGTAAATACTACATGTTAATTTCACTTATTATTTCTCAATAAATCTAAAAGTGAGGTAAAAACAGTAACCAACAAAAAAAGATAAACGTAATTTGGTAAATAATTACAATTTGGTAACACACTTCGAAGCCCATAACAAAAGTTTTAAATCGAATTGAGAAAAATTATTTGATATATTCTATATACCTAAGAAAATATTGGTTTTTGCATTATCAACTCCTTCCCTGTGTATATAATTTTAAATTGAGTAAATATAATAAAATACTGTTTCCTAAAAAAAACAAAAACACTACTAAGGGTGAAATATAAAGATATAGCGAGCAGTATACAATAAGTATAGTAAGTAAGTGAATGTCTAACACGGTGTCCTTGTTGAGGTCCTCCTTGGATATCTTGAGCGGGTGCGAGTAGACGGCGAGCGCGGCGGCGGGGCGGCGCGCGCGCAGCGCCGCGGCGTGCAGCGCGCCCAGCGCCGCCGGCAGCGCGTGGTGCCCCTTGTTGTTGTACCACGCCACCAGCCGCGCGCCCGGCGCCCGCGCCACCGCACTGTACCCTATGTATCTGCGAGGCGACGAGGGTTTATATTATGGTTTGCGACTTATCACAGCTATTATCGGATGCGTCACAGAGTGTCTAATAGTAACCTGTGAGACTCGAGGTTATAGACTATCTGAATAATGAATTTCATAGAAATCTGTCCAGTCGTTTTAACGTGAAAAAGTAACAAAATCAACATGTATATTTTATATATATTTTTGTCTAATTTAAAATGTTTTGATTTAAATTTAAATTTTTCCATTGTAGTTGTTTTCAATCGCATGGTCTGTAAAACTTTGCTATAAATTACATATAAAGTTATATATCTTTTAATTACTATTTAGTCATAACAAAATTTTAAAATCCAATGGCTGTGTGAGTTGAAAATTTACATTGCTAAGCAAATTCAATATGCAACATATGATGAGATCCAAACTCGAACCCACGACAACCACTAGACCACGGAGGCAGTTATATACTTATAATAATTTATTCAATATGAAAGATTTAATTATTTCTTATATCAAAACAAATATTCTTACCTCTTCTCCCTATAAAACTGTTCCGAGTCGACGAGCCAGCGGTTGAGCGCGCGCACGTCGGGCGCCACCATCAGCGGCGGCCGGCGCGGCGCCCTCGCCTCGTCGATGTCGCAGTGCTGTATGGACTCTACGCACTGACATGTTACTGAATCCTAGGAGAAATCAATATTTTCTTATAAAATATAACAACAACAAAATATATGGACTACTGCTTAGATACAGAAGACATTTCTTAAGAAAGATGTACTGGACTGTCTCTTTTCATCATATTCAAAATGTTTATGTTACAAAATAAAAAAAAAGTTCCACTTTTAGGGGTGGATTTTTTAAATTAATACAGGTACTTTTATATCCATTAGGTAAAATCCTATAAAGGTATCTATATAAATATAAAAAAAAATTTAAAAAGGATTTAAAAATTGGCGAAAATGTCATTTAGCATACACACAAATACAACTGAATTGATTGACACCTCCTTTTTGAAGTCGGTCAAAAAGCTCAAGACCTGCAACTGGATCATATACCAAAAATTGGTTTTATTTTTAAAGACTTCACTGAAATTATATTTAAGATTGTTTTGTCGAAGAAAGAAAATAAAATTACGTTTAGTAATAGTATAGTATAGTCTGTTATAAACAGACTCCAGTTTATAACACATCTCTATCTCACCCACCTCGCTAGATAAATTTCTGGACTGTGTGTTATATCGCAGATCATCCAGGATCTGTTGGGCAAAACTAGAGTCTACGTCGTCCGCGTATGTTGATGGATGGGACCTGGAAACAACACAAACAGATAATCTATTATATATTATTCAATGACATAATAAAATACCTTACAGCGTTTCTTGTGTTACTTTCAACTTGTGATATATTTTGTTATGATGAATACTAGCAACTAATCCTCCTTCGATTTATAATATTATACACAAATAGTGCCACATATTGGAAAATTTTATAACAGCCTATATATAATAGCATGAGTGCTACTCTTCGTCATAACCTATACATATGTGTACTTTTCATTTAAATCCGTCGAAGCCGTTTTAGCAGTATCATAGTCCGATTGCGACAAAGTGATTTTAACCATAATACTTTCTTAGATTTATGCGAATATTCCCGGCGTTTTGAATATTTTACACTAATCATGATCTCCCCCGTGACCATGATTGCTGTTATGGTCGGGAACCAAAAAAAGAGCCAAAAAGATAATTTTATTTAAAAAGTGATATTCCATAAAAAGTTACAATAACTTTCACTCACACAATGAACTGTGTGGAGTTTTCGTACAAGCCGGCGTGCAGCAGCAGCGGCACCTCGTTGTCGGCGGGCGGGCGGATGGTGGAGAAGCCCATCGCCGCCACCAGGAACAGGGATGGCAGCGCCAGCACCAGGAACAGCAGCCATCTGATACACGGCACGCGTTATGTTAGTTTTATGGTACTACTGATGGTCAGAAACTTTCTAAAATTTACTTTGCCTAAAGTTTCTGATATACCCAAAAATGTTAACTTAAAAATAAGTAGCCCGAAATTCAAAAATTTAATTGATCATTCTAATCTGATGTCTAAAGGAATTCTGAATAGTTTTATAAGTATTTTTAAACTTTGTAGAAGGTAACCAACCATGCTGAATTATTAAAATTTGGAGTAGTCTTTTCATGATTTAGTTAAAACTCTAAATTAAATTTTTCAGCAACATGTGGCCCACAGAAATTAAATTTACTGGGACAAAAAGTGATCCATATTACTCACCGGCCCATATACTATCTCTATACAAAAAATGTAAGTTAGAAAGTTGCTCCAAGGCTGCATGAAAATAGGGGCAACTCATAAGTACATACGAAAGATTTTTTAGCGTTAGTAAGTAATCTTCATATTATAAGAGTTAACATTACTCACTTGTTTCTTATATAGTGCAGGTATCTCGCGTACATCAAGGCCGCGAACTGTTGCCGCAGCGAGCCCTTGAGCGGGCCGTCGCGCTCCACCAGCGGCGCAACGTCGGCGGGCAAGCTGGACGTCGACGCGCTCTTGGACGTTGATTCCGGGATCGACGATACTTCTGAACACGGTAGAACATACGAAAAGGTGGTCATATACTAAAAAATGTCACTCAATAAATATTTATATAACTATTAACTTTTTGTTTACACGTTCATATGTATACTAGCGACTCACCCTCGCTACGCTCGGGTTCGTCCCTACTTACGTTTTAACGTGTAGTATAGATTTATCAGAAATGGATATATTTTCCCACAGTAAAATGTATCCTATATGTTGACCCGGATAACCAGCTATCATCATACCAAATTTCATCAAAATCCCTCTAGTGGTTTTTCCGTGATGCGGTCACAGACAGACAGAGAGACAAAAATTCTGAAAACTATAGATTCGGCCTCTGTATCGATAATAATGTCTATTTCAATAAGATTTTCCAAAATATATTAAATGTACAGATTCAGCTTAGTTACAATTTTATTATATGTATAGATTAGACCTATTAATTGTTTTATTATAAAATGGTATGGTGGTGCATCACATGTTTTATAGTTTTTCTCAAAGTTGGGATTTTGTCTAACTAAAAACGAATAAGTACATCGATACAGTTGATTTGAGAAGGTTATATTTACACCTATATCTTACATTAGAAAAAAGCTTCCAATATACGTAGTTAGGTCACTAAATATATTTAATTCAGAAATATAGTAATTCAAGGGTATACCGGGGGAATCCCCGTTCTCTTGCTGTTGGCAGATCGCATGAAACACCTGCTCCAGGCTGCTGCAGTCCAGGCTCAGGCTGCGGTAGGCGAGCGCGTCGCGGTGCTGCTCCAGCGCCAGGGTCAGCTCCAAGAAACTAGCACGAGAAGTTATCCAAAATAGTCAAGTGATTTAGCCGTATGTGCAACTCCTTAAAAGGCATTAGATTGCTTGAAAATAGTCAGTATAATTCAACACTTTTCAAGTTTTTTAAAAGAATTAATAATATATTAAAAGGAAATTAAGAAATAGTTTTCTCCTCTCGAAATATTTAGGTATACTTACTTGTTACTGACTCCATCAGCATCATAGAATGGCAAATTGATTTCCACCTCTGAATCGTTCACATCCATTACATTGGCGTTCTTCACTACACTTCTGGTCACCGCCAACAAGTTCTTCGTCTTCTCTTCTATGGATACTTCTTCATCATCAGCTGCTTCTAGATGATTGAGCTTTTTATCCGGATACATGACGGTTAGTTTGTAACCAGTGCCTAAGGACCGTTTGATTTCTATTGGAGAGCCGGTTGTGTGGATTTGTCCCTAAAAAGGCACAAACGTCATATAACATGTATTTTTGTGAACTTTGTTTTTGTTTTTATAAAATGAAAATTTTTCTTTGCCTATAAAAAGTAGGTAGACAATGGACCACAGATTTTTCAGAAATTAACATATGGAAGGTTTATCAAATCAGACAGAATTTTTTTTAAAGTCACAGAAGCTCACCTTGTGCATGATGATGATCTGGTCGCTGAGCAGTTCCGCCTCGTCGAGGAGGTGCGTGGTCATCAGGATCGTCCTGTTCTCGCGCAACTTCATTATCAGTGACCAGATATCTCTGAAAAATTCAACTTCATTTTTATTCATATCATCAAAAATGTTCGAAGTAAACTTGTCTTTAAAAAATATGTTATACACTAAATTTAAGAATTTGTGTAATTCAGTTTATCTGTGTGCGTGTGTGTGTTTGTGTAAATAATTTATATATATTTTTATAAATAATATAGTATTAAATGTAATTTTAACTAAGAATTATTTTCTTTTAACGTCTAAGTGTTGACGACAGTAACAGATATAAAAAAAAGTAAGCATATATTAAATAAAACTAAGGTGACTAGAGTGGAGGATGTAGGACGACTAGGGTTTAAAGTAAAACCTTAGTTTAAAAGCAGTAAAAGCAGTTGGTAGGTTAGGGCCGGGAATAGGTAAACACCAACATTAAAATATTAGAAAAAAGAACTTTAAACCAATTAACTAGTAGCAACATTATGTATAGCGAACACTGAACAAGATCACTTCACCAAAGGTGAATCAACAACAAATCGGGTGGTATCGCATAATGTTATAGGAGCTTTTTGCGATTTTAATATAGGACAAGACGAGAAAAGAGTATATAAGAGGACTAGAGTGGAGTGGAGTAGGTACCTCCTGGCGGCGGGGTCGACGCCGGCGGTGGGCTCGTCCAGCGACACGAGCGCGGGGCGCGCCACGAAGGCCAGCGCCACGCACAGGCGCCGCCGCGTGCCGCCCGACAGCCGCGCCACCGCGCGCGCGCCCAGCGCGCCCAGCCCCAGCGCCCGGCTGATGCTGCACAATACACAACATGGCAAACTTGCTGAGCAAATTAGCGTTTTATACGTCTTCGCGATCTATTATATTTTCTAATAGCGTAGAAGATTTGAGTGAAATTCGTCGTGGAGATTGCTTTTATCTTAAAATTTGGAAGAAGCTAATTTTTAAATTCCACACAAGCTCAAAACAAATACTAGTTTAACATAAAATTTTCACAAATTAGTATTTTTTTTCAACGTTATTTATGAAAATATCCGACTTGAAATTTTCTAACGTACTCGAATGCAATGTCACCATTGATCATCTATATAAACGGTATGCTCTTTATCGTAACTAAATATCTTAAATGAATTTAACATTCTATACAACAAAAAAAGCTAACCTGTCCACTTCATCCTGCACCTCGGCCAGGCTCTTCCCGCTCTTGAGCTGCGCGTAGAGCGCGATGTGCTCGTGCGCTGACATGTACTCGAACAGCACGTCGCGCTGCGGGCACACGCCGAGCCGCGCGCCCCCGCCCTCGCCCTCGCTGTCCTCCGTGCGCACTACCACGTGGCCCTTGGTGGGCTTCAGCATGCCCGTCAGGATTTTTCTAAACAAATCAAATAAGTGCAAGTATAGTACGCAAATAAGTATTACACATTTTTTTTATTTTTTTAATATTCCCTAAAATTATAATTAAGTAATGACTAATGTTAGTTTCTATAAAAGAGTGTAGATGACGGGAAAGTTATGAAATTCCTGAATAAAGTGTCTTTCATATTTATAGCTGATTAATGATACATATTGGACATAAAAATTTATAAAAGGAGTCAAAAAACAGTGATTATGATACTAACATAAGCGTGGTCTTGCCAGCGCCATTGTGCCCCAGCAGGGTGGTGATCTGCCCCTTGTGCAGCTCCATGGACACGTTGTCGAGCGCGAGCTTGGCCGTGCGTGAGCCCTCGTCGTATATCTTGGTGACGCCCACCACGCTCACCCCCGCCTTCTCGCCTGAGGCGGGGCACACTGTGATGTTGCTCTCGCTTTTGATACCTACAAGTTTAGTGATAATAATCAATAATTTAATTTAATTTTTATTTTAAATTACATATATAAAATTATCTTCTCGGATTATTTCGCGGATTTATTTTGATTTTTGGTTCCCGACGTTTCGAATACTTTACAGCATCACACACAATATTTTTTAACTGAAAACATTTTTATATAAAAAAATATATATATTGTAATGTAATTGGTGCAATTTTCATTTTGTTAATTGTGGGTAGGCTGTCTGTAACAACTATACCTTCAAGACATGTAACACCTCAGTCTCTCCCGTGACCATGGATGCTGTAAAGTATTCGAAACGTCGGGAACTAAAAATCAAAATAAATCCGCGAAATAATCCGAAAAGATACTTTTATTTAAAAATGTCAAACATTCGCGTAAATCTAAGAAAGTATTATTAAATTACATATAATTAGATTTGTTTTTAGAAACAATGTTTTAGAAAAAATAATTTCTAGAAGCTTTTTATAATTGAACTATAACTTAGAATTACAATAACAACAAATAACCTCCTTATTTTAACATTTTAAAATTAACATCAAAGAAGAAATATACAAACTTACCATAAAAATAATTAATCACACATCCAATAGCGATGTAAATACATGCATCGACCAGCATCATGGCAGCGGCCGTAGCGATGCTCATGTCCCCGTCTCCGCCCGGCGAGTCCCACAGCTGGGCCCAGCCCGCGCCCACGCCCATCGCCTCCAGCCGCGTCACGAACAGGAACGCGTAGCACAGGGAGGACGACATGGATAGGCACTGAAGATAGTTTTATGTCCAGTCGCTAATGTTCAGTAAACCACTTTTACCATAGATTACTCAAATAATGCAATATGGTGACTCAGGCTACCACGGATATTCCTGCTCTTATTGAGCCTTCTGGAATAATTTGAAATGATGGTAAGAGACCTGATGGTCTGTCGCTGGTTCCTTGGGTAAGGAAACGTTCCCTGTTGTGGGGCTTTGTATGCGTTGACACATTGGCTCCGTCCTATGTCAGGGAGACGGCGTCTAAAGTGGGAGCCGCGGCGTAAAAAGCTGAACTATTCAAGTTATGTAAATACCGCCTCCCTTAGTCAAAATTATATCTTTATACCATATACTGTAGAAACCCTTGGCCCATGGAGTCAATGTGTTAAACACTTTTTAAAAGACATAACACCTCGTCTTATTGCCTCTACTGACTGAGCTGAGCTACACGAGAACTGGCTCGTTTTGCGCTCAAATAATAGGCATTGCCATTCTGCGGGGCAATGTAGCTCTAGCATTTTTGCTACTATTCCGCCCGGACATGACTTGTACGGTAATAATTAAGTGTGTATTTAATTGTTTTGTGTATAGTTTAATTAGGTATATTTGTAATTTCCTTTATAGTAAAACGTTTTATAATTTTACTATAACTTCATAATTATAAAACTTGTTTCATTTATCTCGTGATCTTGTTTACTGTGAAAATATGAAACATCGTCACAAAAAAATTAAGTAAGAAAAAGCGCAAGATTGTTTATTTAAAATGGCAAATATTCGATTAAATCTAACAATGTATTATTTCATGTAAACTGTTCTTAATGTTTTAGAATTAGGTGCCTCCATAAAATACTAACATAATTATAGTGTCAGTTATTAAAGTACTTGTCACGTTTCCAATAAATGTCCTAACAGATTTGCAACAAACAAAGCGATTCAAGAACAACTTACAATAAATATCTTGAGGGGGCTGTTGAGTGCCGTCTCGAGGGAGAGGATGAGTACGATGGGCATGAAGGTGATGAGATAGGCGATGCCGCTCGCCACCGCGCCGGACGACGCCGACGAGCACAGCGTCGACATCATGTAGCTGTAGGTAAATACGTATCTATACTAATGTTATAAAGAGGCAGAGTTTCTTTATTTGTTTGTTTGTTTGTTTGTTTGAACGGGCGAATCTCAGAAACTACTAATCCATCCATATGAAAAATTCTTTGGACATTAGTTTATTGAGGAAGTCTATAGGCTATATATCATCATGGTACTACCCAAGGAAGCGGGACAGTAATCATAAATGTCAACAAATCAGGCAGACTTTCATACATTATTACTAATAGGATAAAGCCAAAGAGTTTTTGTTGTTGTTAGAAGCCATGGGTTGTTTGGCTAGTAATGCATAAAAGACAAAATATTTGGAGAATTTTTGGTCAGAATATTAGAAAACATGCGAACATATTGAATGATTTTAAAAGTATGCGTGCAAGGACAGATGTAATCTATACATATAATAAAATTGTAACTAAGCTGAATCTTTAAATATTTTTTGGAAAATCTTATTTAAATAAACATTATTATCGATACAGAGCCCGAATCAATAGCTTTTAGAATTTTTGTCTGTCTGTCTGTCTGTTACCGCATCACAGAAAAACGACTGGAGAGATTTTGATAAAATTTGGTATGGTGATAGCTGGTTATTCGGGTTAACATATAGGATACTTTTTACCACGGGAAAATATCTCATTTCTGAGAAAAAATACAAAAACTGCAATATAAGAGTATACTAATATGTAGATCGTAAGAATTTGGTTTTTGGTCATCTGAACGCGGGCGGAGCCGCGGGCAATGCTAGTATATAATAAAAAAACTAAATAACAAAATTGAAATTTCCCTAATAGGTGCCAGATCTTAACATGTAAATAAATAGTATTTTAGCTATATAATCTTATTTCTATTTTGTTCGTATCATATTTTCATGCGTGGTTCAAATATCTGAATAAAATTACAAAATTAGATTGGATAGCGCAATATTCATTGAATTGAAGTATGTTCTATTGAATTGGAGTTGCTCCTCCTTTTTTGAAGTAGGTCGAAAATGTTTAAGAACATACCAGAAAGCAATCACGGAGAAGCTGAAGATGAGGAGCAGTACATAGAGCAGCGAGGGATCGGAGCGCGGCAGCACGCCGCCCGCGCTCAGCACGCCCACCACGGCGCCCGCCGTCACGCCCAGCTCCAGCAGCGTCCACGCCGCCCACGCCAGCGTGTGGTAGCGCAGCCGCACGCCCATCACCGACATCAGCTGGGGTACAGTTAGTAGTAGTTAGTCCTGAGGTACAGTTTAGCTTATAGTGGCAGTGCTGACGCACACATTTTGTATCGCGCCACGAAGCCCAATTGTTCCGCAACCGACTACCGATTCTTTTGTCACGGATATTATTATAAAAGTATATGTACATAGTCTGGCCATAAATACTGTTACAATTGAAAATAAACAAAATATTACATTTGAATTTGGAATCTAACATTTTTATATGATTGTTCATTGTGTTTTCTCATTTTCCTTCAGGTACAATGAAACCTCCTCTGTTTGTGAGAAAAAGGTCTTGCCGTCCACGTAGTGTTCGTACGAAAAAGGCGATCAAAGCAGTAAGGGAAACAATACGAAGAAATCCTGTCCGAAAGCAAAAGGATTTTATCGCGGGAAATGAAGATAGCACCTAGAAACATGTAGCGTATTTTAAAAGAGGACTTAGGACTTACAGCCTATAAGAGATGCACTGGTCATTTCTTAACTGATAATTTAAAAAAGAATAGGGTGGACTACTTAAGCGGTACGCAAAGGGAGGTCACAGAAAAAATTTGTTTACGGATGAGATTTTTTTTACAACTGAGCAATATTTTAACAAACAAAATTACCGTATTTATAGTCAATTAGTCAACAGAGTACAACATCTGCATTATCCGACTTCAGTGATGGTTTGGTGGGGTGTTAGCTATGAAGGAGTGACTAATCCATATTTATGTGAAAAAGGTATCAAAACATCGGCACGAATGTATCAAGGTACCATTCTTGAAAAGGTAGTTAAGCCCTTTAACAACACCATTTTCAATAACCAAGAATGGTCCTTTAAGCGAGACTCGACGCCGGGACATAAAGCTCGAACCACGCAATCTTGGTTAGAAACCCACGTTCCTTGACTTCAGAGCTGAAGGACCGTCCCGATATTAATCCGCCGGATTATGATTTATGGTCAGTTTTAGAGAGTATGGCTTGCTCTTAACATGCTGCCATGATAATTTAGAGTTCCTAAAACAATCCATACGATTGGCAATGAAGAATTTTCCCATGGAAAGAGTGCGTGCTTCTATTGATAACTGGCCTCAACGTTTAAAAGATTTTATTGCAGCCAATGGAGACCACTTCGAATAAGCTTTATATATTTTTAATTGTTTTATATTTATGTATTAAACTAACACACTGTAATAGTAATAATTGTTACGTGCAATAGAAAAAATGTTTTTTCTTTGTAACGATATTTAGGGCAAGACTATGTATATTGTGTTAGGGATATTTGTCAGAAACTTAAAGTCAAAACAAATATATGTAATTTTGGACGTTTGATTATCTCTCTGCATACACAACTACAGTGAACACGCATTCATCCAACCTGAAATATATATATATATATATATATATATATATATATATATATATATATATATATATATTCGCATTGTTGATCACTAGAATAAAATCGGTCAAATATGAATTAGGAGGCCTAAACAAGATGTCATACAAACGTTGAAGATTAAAAAAATATGGAAATTGCATATTCTTATTCTATGACATAACAATTAAAAATATCATTTAAATAAGATTTTTAATATTTCTTTTATGTTGCATAGCTACTATTACCAACCACTTCAAAATAAACGGCGGTAAAACACCTAGCGCATGCCTGTCTCACGTTAGATATTTGAGAATTCATTTTAACCCGCTATGAATAACAAAATATTATATCTTTTAGTTAGAAATAAAGTTTAGTTTTTGCACGTTCACTTTTTTTAATATAAATAAATTCTTAAATAAAGGAACTCTGTAATAGGTACTAAAGAATTCTATAGGAATGATAAGCTTGCGTATAGTAAGATCTCACTTACTTACCATATTAGATTCTAATATGGTAGGACTAAATCTGTAGAAATGAAATAATTATTTAATTAAAAATATTTTAGTAAGACGGTAACTTACCATGGTGTTTCCTGATTCCTTGTCTTCCACTATGAAGCGCACCGCAGAAGATACCGTGAACAGCAGCGAGAAGAAGAACGCCACAATTAGAGACTGAGACTCGTACAGGGAAGTCTGGAAACTAGAGATGTAAAATATACGTAATAAATACATTATTTTACCCGTGAATTTATCTAATAATTAAAACTCTTAAAAAGTATTTAAAATGTTAGGATTATATAATAATACATCATACTTGGCTTATATTTTCTTCTGAATTCAAACAATATTGACCATAATTTTCATTTACTGGACGTAAAAGTATCCATACTAATATTATAAATGTGAAAGTTTGTGAGGATGGATGGTTGTTTGTTACTCAATCACGTTAAAACGTCCGAACGAATAACGTAGTAAGTAAAGTACTCAAAGATATCACGATCTAAACATCACAAACTTACAGGTCTTTCCTATAGCAGGGATAAGGCACTTGTTGCGTGTAGACCGCCCAGTCGTCATCTGTAACACTTGCCTCCCGCTTCTGGATGTTTCTAGAAGTGTCTGGGGACAGCTGTATAATGGCCTTGTTTATCATATCTTGTATCTGGACGAAGCCGCGGAAATATCTCATGTTTTCTAAGAAACTCGACTCCGGGCCCGGCGTCCACAGGCTGGGGAACAGATTGATTGTCATTAGAAATTAGGTACTCTTTCATTTATTGTTGATTTAAATTTACTTACTTTACGCTTAGTTTTACTGTTAATAATACTACAACTACAATAAATACACATATTGAGATTCTTGTTTGTAATAAATATTCTCTTGGAAAAATACATTCACTCATATTTAAAAAAAAAGTATATTTTAGAAGAATATATAATATAAAAAATATTATTGTTTTTATTGGTCACTTTGCTAGTTTTGTTGTACTTACTAAGTTTTCAGTCTTTTAGTTGTCGGCACGCTGTTGATGTCCATTCGTATTTTGTATTCCATGTTTAAAGGAATTTCACTTTCATTTTCACTCATGTTTAGGAAAACCAAACCTGTGAACCAATGCAATGAATTGAATAATAATAAACGTTTTATTTCTTATGTTATTTTGTGTAATTACATATTTTATAATAATAGAAAGCTGTTGTAGAAAAGTTAGTACAAAATTGATATCCGTCGTGCTGTAATAAATACTTTAACATGTTCTAAAAATATTGGATTTTGACGAAACTTTACAGTAATATAGATTATATCAGATTAACACATAGGTTATATTTCGAAAAGACATAGTAATACATCAAAATACGCGGGCTCAGCCAGCAGAGAAAACGCTAGTAATAAATAATTCTATAATCATTAAGTATACACATACCATTTTAATTTCTATTTAATACATTTAATCTAGTTAATATATCTACTACAATGATGAAAATTGAAAATGATAAAATGGAAGAGAGACAAAAAGAAAAAAGGACAACATAATTTTTAAATAGAGCATACATATTTTATAAGTATCGATAGGTAGATATACTGACAAATAGTACTAAAAACATTGAAATTAAGAGCGGAGACAACACGCAACCCTGTGGAACGCCAGCCTTGACTGCAAGCCTGTCTGAGTACGAATTCTGAATTCGTATGTATACGTTGCCGACGTTCATACCTGTAGCTACGAAACCAGTCAATTGACAATTACATTAGGACATATGTAAAGAGAACCTAAAGAAGCAAGAATAATATCAAATTCAACAGTACCAAACGCTTTGCAAAAATCCAACAATGATAGTACTGTTACTTGCTGCTTATCCACGCCGAAACTAATGTTATCAGGTATCTTAGCTAGGTCAGTCGTCGTGCTATGACTAGGACAAGTTAAAAACATTCACTTAATCGTTAAGAGTAGTGCCGTATAGCGCATCCAACCAGTCAATCTGAGCTGCATCTTTTTGCAGACGATCAAAGTCTATTTCATCAAAATTTCGCAGCAGAAGGATTCTTATTTTAGCTTTAATGAGCTTAATTTATCATTCATATTGTCTTTTCAATTCAAATAATACCTATATAAAATTTCCCTTAATCCTTAAAGAAAGTAAACGACCTGTATAACAAAATCGAGAATAGTAGCATAAACATAAAATCACGCTACTATATTTGACGGGCTCCGCCTAATAAGTGATCGTCTTGTCTGAGGACATTTTGGCGGCCACCGTGTATACAATTGTTTAGTGCGCAGTGCCACAACGTACCAGCGGAGAACTCGTTGACGGCGGCGAGGCGCGCGGCGCCCAGCGCGAGCGCGCGCTCGTCGCGCGCCGGCCGGAAGCGGTCGAGGCTCACGCAGCGCAGCAGCCGCGACGCGCGCCGCACCAGCGCGCCCAGCGACTGCAACCAGCAGGCTACTGTTATATATGAGGTTGCGTGTTTGTTGCTCCTTCACGCTGGAACGGCTGGACGGGTCTAAGCCCACCGTTTAAATTTACTACGCAGATCTAACCAACTATGATCTGGAGTAACACATACGCTACTGTTAGGTACTACAGTCATAATATCCAGGTCCTTTAAAATCCTACTGCTTAGCACGAAGCTCCTCTCAATGAAAGAGGAATCAGCTTGCGGTAATAACTTGTTCTGATCGCATAAAAAGTACTCATAATCACTATACAACTAATCTGTTGCTCTGTTATTGCATGAAGAAAGACATTTATAGACAAATTAGACAAGAATATTTTAATAAGCTCTTCTTATATATCTATGTCAATCATTCAAAAAAAATATTTCCAAGCAACGGTCTGTTAAGAAATTTTAAAAAATAAGTATCGAGACGTATAGACCTATTGATCTTTATTTCGTATTAATTTCGTGTTAAGCTAGCTCCTTTCCTATGACTAATTTATATTTTTAACAATGTACCTGAGTATCCCCAAGACCAGCGACAACTTCATCAACATCGATATTAGGTGCTTGCACGTCGCCGATCAAACTTTTCCTTATTTCTGCATACTGCGGTGACGTCATTATATTCATCAATGCGTCCAAGCCACTCTTGTGTTCTGTCAACTTATCCACTGAAGAGAAGGACTCGGCGAAAGAGTGAACTAAGTTGACTACTTTCACTGTTGGCGTGAATGTTGAATTTGCCTGAACAGAAAAGTTCAATTCTATTATATGTATAAAACAATTTACTAGTTAAATCAATTTTGGACACTTTTGAACATCCTAAGTACTGTGTAGATAGGTATACAACATTTTCCCCTCTAATAGAAATTATAATGCAAGAGGGAAAATTGAGTTAGACACATAGGTTGAAAAAATGCATGATTAATAATTCAAGAAAACAATATGATAAACCATATTTAAATTTATTTGGACATAAAAAATGAAGCTATAACATAATGTATTCAGCCCTTTTGACCCTTTTTAGCCCTTTAACGTCCAACTGCTGGGCACGGGCCTCCATTCAGTACGAGAGGCATCAGGCCATAGTCCACCACGCTGGCCAAGTGCGGGCGGAATTCACATGTCTTTCGAAAACTTGCTAGGTTCTGTCAGACATGCAGGTTTCCTGACGATGTTTTCCTTCAGCGTAAGATAAGTGGTAATCGCGTTGGGAATGATTCGCACATAAAAATATTAAATGTGCGAGACTCGGGATTTGAACACGCTTCTACTATGGTACTCACTGGACTACCGCTGCTTTGCCTATATTATAAACAAACAAAAATTAACCTGTTCAATAATCTTCTGCACGATAGGATTAACCGGTGTGTAGAGGATCTTGCCGAGCAGCAGTGGTTTGATGAAGCTCCACAATACCTTCCCGCCGTCCATCGCTATTATGTCTTTGTATAAAGAACGGCAGAACTCAGCTGTAGCAATAATATTATACTTTTAGAATGTTATTAAATTTAAATAAAGTAATAAGTGCGATATAATGTGAATGTCTTGCTTGGCCAATTAGAACAAAAAGGTCCAGCAAGTCCGAGAGTAAAGTTTTTGTTGTATAAACTATGTACTATATACAATAAAAGTGATATTGAAATTAATCAAACATTTTCAAATAATACAGTATTAACTGTTAGATAGACAGACCGACAAAAATTCCTATAAAAGACGATTTAGAACTTTTTGCCATAATTCATTAAGTCACATTAACACTTTGTAATTATAGGAAATGTTGATCAATTGTACAGAGTGGATTAGCCTGTAATCCTAACTTATAAGTCATAGCACAATTGTTCAAATGATATATAGAAAGACATTAACTAGGCAAGGCGTCGAGCTGCTTGCGGTCGGGCTCGGTGGAGAAGTCCTTAGTGCGCGCTATGGCGGTGTAGAAACGGCCCACGTCGGAGTAGAAGGGCTTCCCGCACAGCATCGTGCCCGCCTCCTTCAGGAAATCTGATGCTGGAATACAAAGTTTAGTAAATTGTTAATATTGGAAAATGTAAAAAGAAAGCTAGCATCAACATTTACTTTAAAATCTCACACATGTAACATTGTGACTAGACTTAAATAAATTATATACGTATTTGTATACTACATACATGCCAACATATCCCCAAAAGACGTGCTCTTCTTCAACCTCAATAGCAGTGGTTCTTTTGACAAACTCTCAGAGACATTGCTCAGACTTCCTTGCAATTCTGGTAAAATGGCAGCCATATTGTTGAATTCAGATAAAACCGTATCACCCTCTGATTGAGTAAGATTTGACGCTACGAAAAGCTTTGTTAACAAAAGTGATTTAAGCTGTAAAAGAAATACAGTTTAAAATTAGCTGATTTCGAAATATGAACAAAATAAAATAAACTTTACAATATTACAAATCTTATATTTTTTCCACACATCAAAACGAGCACTAATAATAATAACCATAAAATTTTTTTTTCCTTTACCAAAGTATTAAAATAATCTGTCAGTAAGTAACGGATACTTGTCACATTTCTCACCTTCTCAATGACAAAATCAAAGTCCACATTCTCCAACAGTATCAGTACGACAGCCTTGGCCTGTTCGTCGGTGATACCGCAGAACTGCTCCATCACGGCGCCGTAAACGTCGTCCACGGTCACGCCGGCTGCTCCTCCTCCAGGAATTATGACCTTCGACATGTTGTCAGTTTGGCAGACGAAGTCGCTGATGTGGTATATGCCTTGTTTTTGAGTGAAAAGCTAAAAATATTTGTGTTAGCTTAATAATTGGGAATAAAATACTGAATACAGTCAGTGTGAAGTCTGAAAGTATATTTAAGCACTATAGTTTAGGAAAACCTACATTTAAATTTTAGGACAAACCAAAATATTACAGATATATTTAATACGTACAGGTTTAATAGCGATGTATCCGGCGTGGATTCTTGGTGCGGCGATGGACCAGAAGTTTGTGTTGTTGACACCCAAACTGCTTAGAGAAGCTTCTAATCTATTTGGGTTTGAGAATATCTGCGACACATTTACTGGAAGCAAACAGATTCTTATTAATAAAAACCCTAGATAATTTTAATTTAAAGGTATATATTTTTTAAGGAAAATATAAATAATCGACATATTTTTTTATTTTAAGTAATCAAAAACGTATTTAAATCAAAAATTTACATTTAAAATCTTCATCAATGAGGCAGTTTTTGAACTGTCTTATTATCTGCAAGCCATCTGTCACCGCCGTCACGTCGAACTCGAGAGCAGTGCCGCGCACTATTGGCTTTAACTCCTCCAATAATCCTAATACACTGAAATAAGAAAAAAAATATAAAATTCAATTGATAATGCATTTTTTATCACATTTAAGACATATATTGATCAATTCTAAAGTTAAGATGTTATGTACCTACATCTTAATTATTTAGTAGGTATAAATTACGATGTGTATAATTAAAAATGCACTCTTTTATGTTTCCAATAAGCTCTTTTATAACATGTCTCAATAATTTTAGGGCTAAAGCTATACCTATAAAGGACACTATCCAAGACATCGTCCATCATGAGCTGCAGGCCGGTGTCCAGCAGCGCCGCCAGTCGCGCGCCGCGCACCCCGCGCGCGTCCACGCGGCTGAGCACGCCCAGCAGCCGCGCGATGTGCTCCACTATCGCCTCCACGTGCTTCAGTATAGTGGACACAAAGTTGAACTGCCAGAACTCTTTGGTTTGAACTTTGGGAAGCTACAAAAATTAAAGAAGTAAAATTAGTGAGCACAGGTCCACTTTATCTCAAAAAGAGATTTATTCATACCAATGGATTTAGAAAACGAAAAATAATTTTTTTTCTCAAAATTTGCTAAGAAATATGTACTTATTATTTTTGTAGTAACACTCTAAGTTTCAGGGACTATCCGGTGCAATCAAGCAGTGCCGATGAGTTTTTGATATTATGCATAAACATCGATTAAAGTTAAATTCACTTACATTGACACCCACTAGTGTCATATTGATATGTTTCGACATTATTCTCATAATATCCTCGCAATTGTGGTCTTTACAAATTTCATCCCACGAGTGGTCTTGTACTGAGATACAATCATTTATTGATTGCAGGTCTTTTATCTAAAACAAAATAAAAGTTAAAAGAATAGATGATCTTACGGTCTGTAACAGGAAGGAAATGATGTAAAGAGTACATATTTATAATATCATGCGTAAAGAAAACCTCTAGACGTCCATGAAAGAAATACAAATTCAGACAAACGCTTGTAAGATGTAAGTACAATTTATCGATGAAAATAGACGATACTAAATTATGTATATAGCTCATCAAAATATTAAATATTCCAAGTTCCAACAAGTTTATTTACGTAACTAGCGACTCACCCTGGCTTTGCTCGGGTTCGTCCCTGTCCCGATGATTTCCGGGATAAAAAGTATCCTATGTCTTTCCCAGGGCCTCAAGCTATCTTCTTACTAAATTTCATCTAAATCGGTTCAGTAGATCCAGAGATTACCCCCTACAACGTCACAAACTCACAAACTTTACCTTTTTTAATATTAGTATAGATTTAAGCTTACCAAATATAAGTTAATCATGGCACCTTCGATTTTATTCACCAAGTCTTTATCATTTACTATTTTAACGAGGTCCTGTATCATTTCTTCAGAGTTTACAAGATAAGTGGACAAATTATCTCTGGCATTGAGAGTATGAGCTATATTCGCTTGCAGCTGCTTTAAGTACGGCAGGTTGGTGATACCGGGTACTTCTTGGAGGTAAGGAAGCTGTATTCTTAAGAGTCTCGTTGTACGAGCGGCGACTTTAGCGAATCTATGGTAACACAAATAAAAACAATAATAATTAATGAATGAGGAATAAATGTTTAAATTATAATTTTAACATTAAAAGTTGGTTGGTAAAATATACATGGTTGTGGTTGGTATAATATACTCGTAAAAATCTAAAGCTATTCTAAGCTATTTATGTACATGTGTATTTTTCCCATCCTATTCGAGATTGCGTCACATTTACTAAAATGCTATCTAGTTACCTCCCTTTTTAACCACCAATTAGAAAAGGCTTATCTATTAAAATTTCGTTTATGTAATAAATTAGAAGCACTATTTTAAGTGTCTTACAGGGAGGCATGGCCAAAAGCATTCCCAGAGACATTGGCCGCGAGACAGTCGAACAGCTTGGTGGAGGGCGCGCTGACGTCCTCCAGCAGGTGTAGCTTGATCTGTTCCAACAGCTCGTTCAGAGACTTGTTCAGCTCGTACTTGGTGTAGTTGCGGGTCGATATTATCTGTTATTTTTGATTTACTACATATGATTGGTAATTAAAAATTTGTTTATGATACAGCATTAGATAACATTGAAACTTGTGCATTATTATTATAAAATTAATATTTTTTGAAAGTATACGGTGTTTTGTAAACCTCGCAAATTAATATTGATTAAAGTAGGATGTAACTTTATATTTCCCATGATGTCCCATTTTTTATTATATTTATATTACTTTTCATGCGGTCAAAAATTTATTTGTATTTTAAATAAAATTTAAAATCTTACCTCGCTAACAGCCATGTCCCAATGAAAGTCGTTAGTCAGAGCGTTATGTACAGAAGAGGCGGAATGCTCGTCCAGCGAGCACAGCAGCGCATCGTACTCCTGCTTCTTGAACAGCTGCAGGTGGAGCTGCTTGAACCAGCTCGTCAGTTGCGAGCACAGCGTGCAATCACTGGGAAACCATTTTTATACTTAGTTTAGGTTATATATGGATTCAAGGAATAGATCCCCCCCTCCCAAAGTGCGTTCATTAGCGTTCGGTAATCTAGCCAGGCGCGAAGCCAATAAACGCACCGTGAGGCGGCCCATCTCGGTGGGTGGTTGCCATGCGGGTTGCTCTTGGTACTTCTCCGATGGCAGAGTGGACCGTTGGAGCAACTCCTGACTGTTAGTAGTACTGGCTTTGTCGGTGAAACTTACATAACCATCTGAATGTATGCAGGTGGTATTCCTAAATGCATTTCCCAACGTTAAAAAAAATAGACTGTCAGCAAAATAGTCAAAATTTTCACTTCTGGCATTAGAATGTTCATATTTAACGGACCTTTATAAATAAATTTTATTCAATTTTGTTACCTGTTATTAATGAGCAGAGTTCCAGCGTCTACGAAGTTACTGACGACACCAAAAGATATTTTTATAAGTGACTCCTTAGATAAAAGCTGTAGAACAACGTTTCTAAACATTTGCACCTTTTCTTCAGTAACCCATGAAGGTCTCGTCGGGGAATGTGGGCCTTCTCTAATAAGATCTAAAGCAGATTCAGTGTGCGCGATGTCACCGTATAGTACTTCATAATCAATGTCGCGGGACATTTTAAGATCGTTATTGTAGCCCTGTCAAAAAATAACTACGTTTTAAGTAATTTCCAACAGAGTAATTTTTTTGTTTTTATATTTATTTAACAACTAGCGACTCACTCTCGCTCCTCTCGGGTTCGTCTATAGGGACGTTTTAACGGTTAATAGGTATAGATTTCTCAGATATGAGATATTTTCTCGCAGTAAAGAGTATCCCATATGTTGACACGGATAACCAATTTTAAATAAACTATCTAGATAGTTTTATTTAAAATGTCAAGTATTCGCGTACATCTAAGAAAGTGTTACGGATAACCAACTATCATCATACGAAATTTCATCAAAATCTGTCCAGTGGTTTTCTTGTGATGTATTTCCAGACAGATAAACAGACATAAATTCTAAAAACTATAAATTCAGCCTCTATCGATATAGAGGCTGAATTTATATATAATGACTATTTCAACAGGACTTTCCAAAAAATATTTAATGTACAGATTTGACTCAGAATTTTATTACATGTATAGAATACATGTGTGAATTGCACTGCATAATAATACCCTAGAAATCATAAGTCCAGTTTCAGAAAAATGTGAAGCATATTGTTTCATGAAATAATCACAATACCTGTGAAGCAAACATTAATGGTGGTATTTCTTTAAACAATTCAGTATGATCAATATCGCATATCTGCCGATGTAGCGCAGAGAGCTCGCCGCTGGAATCGGGCACGTAGTCTGATAACGTAATGTTTGGTCGACAAAGATCCTCTGTGTTGTTCATGTTTATATCTCGGAGGAGACGGACCAGCTGGAAGAAGAAAGAGATTAGAATAAAAGTGGAAAAATTTGATTCTTCTTTAAATAATAATATTATTATTAATATTATTTACTCGCTAACCCATCGGAGACTGACTTTGTCCTGTTTAAGAATTAAATGGTTTTTTTAATCTTTATATTCATAAAAAAAGCCTATACAAAGAACCATTTTTAGTTTTTCCCCAATTTTCAAACATTGCTGGCAAATTGATGCATTTTTTTGTCTAAGCACCTTATTTGGACTATATACAAAAAAAACTGTTCATAGCTAATGCGCTTACAAACAAAACGTATTTTAGTGTATAATAATACAGATTGTGATAACTTGAATTAAGATTCATGCGTCAAACGTTTTAATTGATATGTATTGACTATAGTAGGCAAATATTATAAGTAAAAACGTAGTTACGTGTATTCTATCCAAATGTGTGAAAACATCTTCGGCGATATCAAAACTTTTCTCTATCGTATCAAAGAAGTTAGTCGCTTTAGGACCACTATACAGCTGTCTCAGTTGTCCCCACCAATCCCCTCCCGTTAGAAAACTCAATATAATGTCGTAGTGTTTCAAATTGTTTTGTAAATATTTAACATATATCGGTATGCCGAGGTCATAGGAATACTTTAGAGATGTTTTCAAACTGTCCACCATGTTCTGCCTGAAATTAAAAAAAATAAACATATATACATTTTCAATTTGATGAAAAATATGACGTTGCATATTTTGTACAAAAAAATACCTTTTTTTAAAAAACATGAATACATCAGAATCACGTTCATTCTCCGATTCAAGTGTTTGAACAAGATTCTTCAAACTATTACTAGCACTATCGAAATCTTCGTCTAATACATGCTGTACGGAACTATACAAAATTTCATACTGTTTTGCACAAATTTGAATTTTAACCCTATCCATTTCAGATAAAATATCTTTTGAGTTATCCTTGTTCTTTGAACGTTCACAGACGTCTTTCAGTGCATCCACCATTTTATGTTCCTTATTATTAGTTGCTAAGACATCAGTTATAAGATCGAAATGAAATGCAATCGCTTCCGAAGGCCTTCTTTTAAATGTTTTTCGTATCGTTGATAACTCTTCTTCCAAATTTTTTGTAACTTCATCACCTGTATCATATATCTTTAAAGTATCCAACTCTGTAACTAATTTACTTATAATTGTTACCACTCTTGTTAAATAAATAGTCGCTGTAAAATGATTTCTAGTTTCCTTGTTGAATAATTGGTAAGATTTATCAGTGTCTTTAATTTTGAATGATATTAAAGTATCAATTGAATTTTCTAGTTTAGCTTTCATAGTGTCTAGGTCTAAGCCTTGTGATGATTCTGTATTATTTTTATTCGATACGTCATTTAATAAAGTGACCAATTCCTTGATATTTGTGTAAGTATTCACGTAAGTACTTGACAAATTAGCTACATTTAAAGTAAAGAAAAGGTATTGCTAAAAAGAAAGAAAAAGTGCAAATTTAATAGTTTTTCAACAATTACTATTCAATATTTTAATAATAAATAAAATATCTACCGGTTTGGTAAAAACATCAATGAGACTATTGTCTCCCCTCGGCATGGAGATCCAGTGCAACAAAGACGGACACACAAATGGCTGCACGTGCTGGATGGCTGCGGCATCGATAGGACTGTCGGGCGCAGGCTTTAAGGCCATCACCACTTCATCACAATCCCAAAAATAAGTATAAGACGCACGACGCAACTAAGCAAAACATAAATGTTATTTTTAGAAAACGAAAGAAATAAATAAAATAATTAATGTACTCTTTTCTGAGCTACCATATTAAATTACATTTTTGTAGAATAGAACATAGCCTTTCCACATGTTTATTTAATCTATTTGACACTAATGCTTTATAAAAATTGCTTAAATACAAGTATTTTTCATTAAATATTACTTGATTTAGAAATCCAAGATCGGTGTAGGAATTGATGAGCACAGCGATGAAATCTGGAAACTTGTCATATAACATGAATAGTCCGGTGTTACGCGTGAAACCCAACAACTGTAGAAATGTCGCATTTTTTTCTAAAAAAAAAATACAAAAAAATATGATTTATATTTTCTTACCGAATATTTTTCAAACTTATTAAGTTTTTGTCAAATGGAAAATATCAAATACGTTATGTTTAAATAATTTATTACTTTACACTTCCACACTTTACCAATATCATGTAACATGTTAAATATACGTAAATGTTGCATAATATTAATGAATAAACTGAACATTAATTATCATCCTAATGTAGAAAAGGAAGAAAAAAATAAGGGCGATTAAATAAATGATCACCTCACGTACCATTCCTTTCCTGGAAGTATATCAATAGATCTCCTGTCACATTTCCTCCGAAAGCGGAAAAGTATTCTAGCGTGTACTTCCAAGTTACTCTCCCGATTATTTGGCATTCATTAGTACAGTTTAGATACTCTTTCCAGAGGTGGTGGAGAGGAACAGAGTCCAGGCCGGTGGTATTGATTGAGTTTAAGACTGTGTCGACTTTTGAAAAAAAGTTTCTGGAAAAAATGTCATTTCTTGGTTATAGAAGCGCTTACAATTCTAACCGATTATGTTATAAATATGAAGTTTGTTTGTGTGTGTATATTTGTTATTCCTTTATGCTGAAACGGCTGGATGGATTTGGATGAAAAATAGTACACAGATAGGCTATGCCCTGGAGCAACACATAGGCAATTAGAGACATAGTCGAGTAAAGTAAGGGTAAGTCGCTAGTAACAAAGCAAAATCATGAACAAAAAATACAACAATTATGTAATTATACTAACTATTAAATATTATAATTAATATGTTTTACCTCAGAACAATATCTCCATTAGTGCCATTAAAAACGTTAACGATATGTTTTATGGAAAAAATAAATGAACCTTCATTATCTTCATCAAAAGCTATTTCTAAAATGTCCTTGATGGCGTCAAAATCTTTTATTGATGAATCGAAAGCGGCGGAGAATTTAAGGAATACATTTTCAGGGTAAACCGTTGTATTCCAAGTTTGCGTTTTCTAAAATAATACGAACAATTAAAATATTTTAATATTATTACATTACTTACTTTATTGGTTAAGTTTTGTTTTGGGATATTTTTTGTATCAACACAAGTTATTAAAAACAATGGATCAAACATTTAAAGAAATAAAACTCACAAAGATAGAAGCATTCCTTTCCTCTAGATATTTGGTCCATTCTCCCCTCATATCCGCATCGAAGCACAAGAGAGTCTCTAGCGAAGAGAGCGCGGTGTGCGCCGCGGCGCTCAGCGGCAGCAGATCAGCGAGGCCGGCCGCGCAGGGCCAGGGCTTCTCCGCGTTCAGGAGGGATATTATTGGGTTCACCTACAATTTATTGAAGGAAAATCTTAGAGCCTTACTGTGTAAGATTTTATAATATTTAGGTTCCGTCAGTTGTTTATTTAGACTGGTTGGAAATAGCATTAATTAAAAAAAATATACAATTGAATATGATACTGCCAATAATAATATAGAAGATTGAGACTACAAAATACAATTCTGGCCTCCATATTTTATCTGTTTTTACAAATCAGGTGCTTAGTGTTCATAAATTCGATTGTTACAATAGCAATATTCATAAGCGCGGGGCTCGACGTGATAACACTCGAATCAAATTACTTTGTGGTTTGCATTCGCATGTTACTGGTCACAGCTACATTGTTTTGATCGAATTTCATACAATAATTTTGTAAGATTTACGAAGATTAGATTTGATCAATTTGTCCAGTAAGCTTTTTTTTTTGCAAACGCAGTCACTGGAAGCTACTAATTCAATATCAGTTTAAAACAATAAATAAGTATTAAATAAATAAAATTTATAGTAGCAAAAATAATAAATTGTCACGCGCCGCTACATTAGTCGAATACATCGAGCGCCTTCGTAACCTCTGTGGTGTTCGTCTACACAGGTGCCAGGCAGGCAGGAAAAGTATGACGACGAATATACTGTGTGTATAAATCATCATCATCAAGTGTTTCATTGTTTTACAAAATATATGAAAAACTTACATCAGTACTATCCTTTTCAATAACATCCACAATTTCAACCACCAAACGCGGTACATTCGGCAGAATGTCATGTATGGCTTGTGCTGTTTTAAACGGCACGTCGGTAGCACCAGTATCGTTTCTTGCTAACCCTAGAGGAATTTAAAAGATTTATAACTAGGAAATATTAAGGTCCATTTTAATGGGTTTGTATCTTAATAATATATGACTATTACGTAAAGAAGTTAAAATTACTATATACTTTAAGCAATAGGGAATAGAATTCTTTTTGCTTTGATGTTATGTAAATATGACTAAAAAACAACAAAACAAAAGGGAAAAATGTAAAACTTTCGAAATAAGGAAATAAAGTCAGGCAAAAACAAGTTACTTTGTCTAGTGTTTTTTACCCTAATTTAAATACTAACCAACAATGAGCTGTATGACATCGTCGGCGACGTGCATGGGTCCGGTGGCCACCAGTAATGCATGCTTCAGTTTCAGCCACTCATCTCCTGTTATATCGAACATGCCTCGGTCTAGCAGATCCAAGAAACGAAGCCCTAACTTTACACTAAAAGTAATAGATTTTTAATAATTGTCATTAAAATGCGAATAATTGAAATGTGATTTATCTTGTATCAACCCACGAACTGCTAAATGACTTTAAAGAGTTAAAGTTTTTCGTTTTTTTGTTCAGCTTTTTATTAAGACATTTGTAATTTTTGCTTGTTTTTCAACATATTTTTAAAACCTTGCGATTCTGGTGTGGGTTTTTCCCAAAGAAAATATCTACCTCAAATCTACTTTTTGAACGGCTTAAGCGTCGGTGTATTTTAATAGGTAAAAATTAATTATTAATCTGTTAATTGTAAGTTGTAACTGAACTAACCATATATGCATGATCCTGTTCAAATTTTTAGCACTAAGCCAGAATTCCTTCGCTTCTTTCATCATTAGAGCTACTTTGTTCTGCATTTGTTTATCCATTCCGAATGTTTTGTATTCAAATAAATAAGTGTAATCTTCGTTTAACTTTTCATAAAGAGTGTTCAGATATGTTATTAATTTGGTCCAGTCCATTTCTTCTACAGGAGTATGCACTGTGTTTTTTATTTTTCTTATCTGAAAGTTTTTTATATTATACGGCGATTTTAACACCTCCAGGTAAATTTGTAAGAAATTAATTAAAATTGTAAGAAATCTATTGTTAACTGACACGCCGGCGTGTCCGTGGTCGTGGAGGGATTCAGAATATATTTCAAAAGTTTGTTAAAATAAGTCAGCTCATTTTCGTATAGAGAACCTCATGCTTTTTGATTTAATGAAAATTCTTATAGTAGAAAGTGTTTATAAACTATAAATCGATATAAATATACAAAAAATAAATCCTTACCGCCTTCCCAACAATAGAGTCTTTTTTAAGTCCCTCATCAATAGCTACAGTTATATTACAAAGTGTTGCTATAAAATTGTCTTGATCATCAATTTCAGGGATGTTCAGATATATAGAGGCGTTTTCTACTCCGTGACAAAACAAATCTTGGCACGGGGTTGATAATGCTTTGTAACTCTGAAAGAATTTAAAGTTTCAAAATGTGTACTTATGAAAACTTATCTATCATTTTCGCTTTAAATAACTCTATTTATTTGTATATTCACTACATTTTTTTAAGTGCCATTTCCCTCTAAATACGAGGGCATTAATATAGTCCACCACGCTGGCCAATAGTTAGGTTCTTTAAGACATATAGGTTTCCTCACGACGTTTTCCTTTACCGTCAGACAAGTGGGAATCATGTTGGAAATGATTTGTTCATGAAAGTATCAGAGGCGCGAGACACGGGATTTGAACCCGCTTCACTCAGTTTCCCAAGCGAGCGCGTTTCCACTGGGCTACCATGTTTTGTATCAATAAATATTTAGATAAGTCATTTAAAAATAATGACACCATCTTTACCTTTTCCTCATCCATCGCAGTATCTAAAATTGTCAAAACTATAGACGGATATAGTTGTTTTGCCTTCTTTTGTAAATGTTTAGGAGCTACGTCCAGCTGCTCGTCCATTGCTATGATCATTGTGAGTATATTTTTTAAAGTTGGAGATATTTTATATTCAAGCAAAGGGTTTTGAGACACTACTTCTTTAGCTAAAGAACCATGTACCGTTATGCTGAAAAACAAAGTTTAATAATTAATCTCTTCATATGCCCTTTTCTTACTTTTAATATAATAGTAATGAACAAAGAGTTGTTTAATATAATAGTGTCTATTTTTTTCTTCAGTACATAATTGATGATACAAAAATTTAATTTTAAGTTAATATGTATTTTATCTACATAGGTGAATGCGGGTTCTATTTTGGCATACGAAAAACCTATATTGTGGCCTTGCAGGCACTTACGACGTGCCCAGGTTTTGGGCTACCAGATATGTATATGGTACTTTGGGTGTAATTTTTGTAATTTTTATGCTTTCTAATTTAAAAAATATTGCAGGAATTGATAAGATTGATGCGTATTGTTTATCAGTTATTAGTCGTTAAAAAACTTACAGGATATGTTTACCCAAATATGATTTTTTTCTGAAAAGTTCCAATAACTTGTTATATTCAATCGTGTTAAACATCGGCGACCAATCGATGACTGGTTTCTCCTCTAATTCCATCATTTTAACGTTTTTAGTGAAATTCTTTAATATTTGGAAATCTTTATCGATACTATACAATTGATCACTGATGTCTTTGCCTAACGTACTTAATATGAAAAGGGACGCCATGCTGTTTATCTAAAAATAAATTGAATGTACATATATGTATGTTATAACAATGAATAAAAAAAGTATATATGTATATATATTGTGTTAATGTTTATAACTCGGTCTTTATAAGTAGATAGAAATATCTTCAAATAAAAGTAAAATAATGTATATTATAGAAAATAATATGATAAACTTACATTATTTTTAACATCATATATACCAAAAGATGAAATTAAATCGTTTATATAGTTTTTCCATGCATCAGTACACATGCTGGCCTTTAGATCTATGGCTTCTTCTCTTGACACCAAGAAAAAGTTCTTTAAGCGATTTGCGTCACAAAACATTTCATCTGGAGCGCCTAATTTAGATGTTAAAATCTATAATTTAAAACAACAATAATATAATAATATCTTAAAACTATATCGTTCACACCCCTTCCCTTTTACAGTTTGCCAATTTCAACACCTTAAGGTTGCCTGGAAGAGATCGCTGTTTTATCATCAAGGCCCGCTTCTTGTACATAGTTCTATTTCTATTTTTCTTTTAATAATTTTTCTTATTTTTTGTGGGTGTACAATACAGAGTATTTATTATTATTATTTTTAATATATATTTGCTAAAAATATTCATTTGCAGAATTTTACATGATTTAAAAACATCTATTTTATTATAAAAAGTATAAATAAAAATGAATATTCGCTTATTTGTCCTAGATATGACTTCATAAGCCATTTATCCGAATGTGATAAAACTCTTTTCTTTGGAAGTTTGCCTTTATGAGTTCCTAAGCCATTCAAGCTGAGGGACGCACCCAATCAAAGCGATGGTAAATCAACATCTAATTCAAAAATTGTCATTGCGTTACTTATTTTGTTGAATTTATTTGACAAGCATTTGATTCATGAAACAATTATTTTTATTATAAATGAAATACGTTAAGTACACGAACGCAGTACCTGTGTTCTTTCAGCATCAGTCAAAGCTTGTAAACCTTGTTCAATTACATGTGGTTTTAAGCTCAACAACACTTTAACTCCTTTAGGGTTCCTCAGAGACACGTTGTAGGCTAACTGTTCTAAGTGCATGTTGATATTGACCACACTGTCTGCACTTTGTATTAATTTGCCCAGAAGTGTAGAGTAGAATAATACATCATTTTTATATTCGTTTGGTAACCATTTAAAGATGAAATTTGTTATGCGCGATAATCTAGAATCGTTAAAAATTGTACAAGTTATTATAACGTTGATGAACATACATAAAAAATCGTGAGAAATTTAATTAAACATTGAAAAATATCTTAATCACATTTAAAATTTAACTAAACTTACATATTAAATACATCCCCGAAAGCATCACCGGTACCTAATTCTGAGACAACATCGCCGATGTTACTAAATAATTGAGACACTTTTCTCACTACAGTATTTGTTTCTAAGCTGCCATTAGTTACTGCTACATCAGTCGTTTCTTCCTCGCTGTCATCGGTTTCTTTGGGTATTATTTTGTTTAAATACGGCAAGCCCATCACGACAGTGTCTACAATTTCTCTGAGTGATTTGTATGAATCCGTCTCACCAAAGGTTGGTTGCAATAAATCCATTACTTTAGTTATCCTATAAAGTATATTTTTTCATTATGTAATTTATATAATATAATATATTTTATTTAAATTTAATTACTTATTTAACTTATTCTTGTAAATTATAATAATATTTATTGTTGTTGATTGTTACGTCGATAAAAGTCCTTAGAATATAATATTCAAGTCGTAGTTGCATTCAATGTTTTTATATACGTATCGTTAACGTGGAACCGGTTTTTGATCATATAAAATTACGTCATTAGAAAATTTAACGTTTTTATTTATATTAAATGTATACGGAAAATGAAATGGAAATACACCAGATTCGAAATTACTTGTAATTATAATTTTTCCACTTTTCGTACATGTAAGATCCATTGATGACAAAAATAAGAAGTATCATTAAAATCGATTCAAAATTGGCGATAATATTGCGAACATACATACAAAAATAAAATATATTCTCAAATCAAGTACCTTCTTTTTTAAAGTCAATCAAAATACTACAAGATATCTACAATAGTTACGTAATTACATACATAGTTAAGTTAACGTAGCTGAACTCGGGCCGCCGGCCCCGCGCCAGCGCGGCCAGCTCCGGCGGCAGGAAGCTCTCCAGCGACATCATCTTAAGTGCCGCTTCCAACATATTACCGATTTTTGTTATTCGGACGTCACCAGATAATTTGGAGTACATTTCTCCTGCCTGAATAAATTCAAATATTTGAGAAGTTAAATTTAATCAAATTAAAAAAAAAAACTTTTTAGAGCTTAAAAAGGAGGCCGTTATTGTCTACTTTTAGCTTATTACTTAGAGATAACACAATCACACAAAAGTAACAGAAGTGATAGTGTAACAACATACCATAGTCACGTAACTCCCTAAATCAATTTGTAGAAACAAATCCTTGACTAGATTTTGAACATTATTGTTTTCGAGTTTGCAAAGTTTGTTTACGAAAATCGTTAAATGTTCAACATTTTCAACTTTTATAGTCTTTTTTAACGACTCAACGCTACATTTGTCAAAATTTCCTTGCATTATCTGTAAAAAAAATATGTTAAATTAATAATTATAGATGTAGATGCTGCATTAGCGTCGTTATCCTTGGATTAAGACATTTTTAAATAACTGGCATTAAAGTATAAAATAAAGAGTTATACGTTTTATTATTATCTACAAAAAAACAGTAAACATAATTTTCTGACTATTAAGTAACATTACAAACTTTGCTCTATGGCATGTATTTATTCATCAATATTGTTAACTAGCTAGCTAGCAGTATGAACTCAAATTCACAATCTTTACTATCCTATAGAATTTAGCATCCTTTAAAAAACCACTTTCTGTTTTTTCCTTAAAAACCCTATTCGGAGTATTAAGAACATTCTAAAAATAAATTAGACAAGTCATAACAGCATTTCATGTTTAATTATGTAGATTATAATTATATGAAATTAACTTCGGTGATAGGACAAGAACCGAACGTGGTATGAATTATATGAAATTAAATGATTAAATCTATGTAAATAAAGTTATTTAGCTCTTACCCCTTCAAAGCCTACTTCAGCCGAGAGGATGCTGTTCGACACCTCTTGAGATATACCCAACTCTTTTGCTAGAAGTCGCTTCACTCTTTTCGGATTTCTAAAAATATCACTAACTCGCAGTCCATTTTCTGAAATTCAAGTGTCTTACATTTACTATATTCTCAACCAAGGGGGTCTTAAACTTTCTTCTATTCTTGGAATGGACATGTTGTTGAAGAATAGATATATTCAAAAATTGTATTACAATAAAAAAAAATCGTATCGTCATACAATTATAATACGTCATCTCCTTTTTTTTAAATTATTTTCTACTATGTAAATATTGTAGAATGACATCTTATCCCCAATGTTTTACGATATCATAACATTTAAGAAGAAAAAAGATTTAAAAAAATAATAATTTTATGTATTTGCAATTTAAAACGTTCATTAAAAATACGCATTTAAGATGATTTACGATGCTGAGTCATTCACGTGTTTAAAGTTCAATAAAGCAATAAAACTTTGAAAATCAATCGTAAATACATTTTAATATTAATAAGAAGTGTTCAATATAATCATATAATGTAGCTATACGCAAGTATAACATAAAGCATTAAACGATGTTTCATGACATAGGTAACGCAGGATAACACGTAAAATTACTAATTTTTATAATACTTTCTTAATACTAATTTTTATATTAAAAAAAACACAAAACGTAAGTTAAACCAGACTTCTAGTAAAACGCTTACTTTATACCATAAACTTGAACTTATTGCACCAGATTAAAACCTACTGTTTAGACTCCCTAGCCAATAAGCCTATAATGTATCGTAGGACTAACTTGTTATCCGGGCGAAAGTGGGATGGTCAGCGACGTCGGCGAGCGTGGCGAGCAGGCGCAGCGCGTGCGGCGCGGCCGACGCGGCGGACACCACGCTGGCGTTGCTGAGCAGCGGGGACAGCTGGCGCTGGAGTTGCGTGAACCTTCATAGGGAAAATCATTGTTTTATCAGTTGTAAATGAATTTTTTGCTTCCCATACACCAGGCAGGTGGCTATAGATGATTGGTGATATCATGACTACTATGAGATACTGTGTTGTTTTACCTATCGAGTGAATGCCACAACAAGACACGTATCGCAATGAGTTTATTAAAATTAAAAAAAATATCTTCTATATGCCCTGTTGTTAGCTTATTTTATTTTTTAGTATAAAAAGATAACGTAGCTTATTTCACTTTTGCTTATTGTATATAAGCATTAGGATATTGTAGGATGCAAACAGACAGATTTTTTTCAGAGCAGTTTCTAAACCTTTAAGCAATTTCAATTCAATATCTTGCAAACGAAAGACAGACAATTTTATTTTATTTATAACTTTAATAAAAAAAAAAACAAAAAACCTAGACTTTTCGTAGGCTGGTATTTCTTCAAATTCGTCCATGAGAGAGCATTCATTGTTGACGTTACATACGAAAGATTGTAGGAAAGTGAGCATGCCCGCGCTAGGCAGCGCTCGCGCAGCGAACTGACCTAGGGACAGACAATATTAATTAAGTTGTTATGACCTACTGCTACATTTGTAGTCAATTTACGAGGATATCAAATTCGGTTCTCATTTAAAATATAGAAGTTCAATATCCGAAAAAAAACCCACTAAATTAGCGGAATTTTAAGAATTTAATGTTAAAATTAAAAGAATTGAATATTAAATAATAAAAAAATATGAAAATAAGTCTAACAAGTTTGATTTTCCTATATACATATACTACAGTTCAGGACATCTTTATCAGCTTCAACTGTTAACAGTTTTCATAATTCAATGAAAAATTATATGATTTTGTACTTTGTAATTATGTTACTGACGTGATATTGCACGTTGTGAAAACCTTTAATTAAAAGAACATTTATCTTATAGTTAGTATATGAGTATCTTACTATATTAATGTATCTTTTGTTGGTTATCACTAAATAAGAAATAAATAAATATACTAGCGACTCACCCTCGCTTCGTTCAGGTTCGTCCCTAGTTACATTTTAACATTTAGTATAGATTTCTCAGAGATGAGATATTTTACCACAGTAAAAAGTATCCTATACATTGACCCGGATAAACAGCTATCATCATACCAAATTTCATCAAAATCTGTCCAGTAGTTTTCTTGTGATGCGTTTCCAAACAGACAGAAAGACAAAACTTATAAAAACTATAAATTCGGCCTCTGTATTGATAATGATTATTTCAATAAATTTTCCAAAAAATATAATGTATATATTCGACTCAGTTAGAATTTTATTATATGTACTAGACTTTACATAGATAATTTAATAAATTAATTTCAGCATTCTTTTATATTTCCTCTTCGATTGATATTATCTAAAAGTCAAAAAAGAAATCATACTTACATGTGGGGTAATCTTTATTGTCTATATTAATTCTAACTACGTAGAGAGTAAGCATCACGAGCGTCGCCCATGCTATTCCAGCTAACGTTATCTGTAAAAAAATATATACTTTATAAATTATATTTTACATCATGGGATGCGAACCCGCTACCATTGGCGTAGAAAAATGCCAAACAAGTTCCACTTTAGCAATATAAATACAAACAGCCCTTGTACTTGACATTTGGTCTGTTATTGTCGTTATGTTTACCATTTAGGTATATTCTCTTGTTATCTCGTAGTTTTCTTATTTACATGCCTTACTCTGACGTTTATTCAATCGTTTTATTATATTATTTAGTATTTACGGATTTATTTTTTATCGACTTCCAAAAAGGAGGAGGTTATCAATTCGTCGAAATCTTTTTTTCTTTTTTTTATGTATGTTCACCGATTACTCGAAGACGCCTGAACCGATTTGGAAATTTTTCGTCTACCTGGAAATTTTTAGCCTACAATATTTTAAGATATGAATATCTTTATAATATACTATACATATTATTTATAATATACGTATTCTTCTATATATATATATATATATATATATATATATATATATATATATATACAAGAATTGCTCGTTTAAATATATTAGAAAAAATAAAATAACACAAGCCTCGTAGCTTACCATGGAACTATGTAGATGGTGTTGTGTATCAATGTCCCAACATATATATATATATATATATATATATATATATATTTAAAGCGTATAAATCATTTCAAAAACAATGTTTCGGGGTCCTTTAATAGTTGAAGGATTTTTGAAAATATTGAACCGCTCTAGAGAAAAACGAAAAGCATTATAAATATTGTTCATACATATCTACTCATAAAAATATGAAGACGAAAAATATCATCTCCTTTTTAATTGGGTCAAAAAGAAATTGTCTAGAGGATTAAGTAACATTATAACCTACCGGTTTTCTCTTGCGTATGAGGTAGTCCTTCCACAGCAGCAGGCGAAGCTGCCGGGCCCCCGCCATGCCACCGCACTACTCGACACCATCACTGCAACAAAATAACATAAATCAACATCCAAATTGTAAAATAGTAATCATTTCGCCATTAAAATTACTTTTATATACGTGACATAAGACCGCCTTTAAGATTATTAACAAATATTGCAAGTGTGACTCTCACGCCGACTGAGGCTTCCGTAGTACGAAGTATTCATTTAAGACATGTTTTTAACACACATTATTTATTATGTTAAAAGCAAAAAAAACATTATTTATTGATAAAATAAATTAAAGAAAAAGATGAGAACAAACATAGTATGCAGTTGGACACCTCTGGCCAAGACTTTGGAGTAGAGTTCATACAAGATTAATACATAGATATTTTTACTCTTTACTCAGATCGAAAATTTTATATTTTAAGTATGTTAATGCCAGTGATGTGAGCCTTCCATGGCTAATATCACGAGAGTTAGTGGAAGACATGGTACGTATGTATAGATAATAGTTTAAGGATTGGTGAAATAAAACCTAGATTTGATTAGATGTATTCAATTTAATTTTAACCGACTTCAAAAAGGAGGGCGCCGACTTCGAAAATATCTGATTAGGTATCTATTCTACTCGTAAAAGAAAACCCCCGTTAATATTAAACGGTTTTTACATTTTAGTGCCTGGAAGTAGTTTTTTTTAAGTTTTTATTTAGTTAAATTAAGTGATTATGTGTGCATTTATCTTTAAATCAAATACATATTTATAAATATAAAATGATTGTACACGGTCATTTGTTTGAATCCCGGATATGACTAAATACAAGACATTATTCATTAGTTGCTAGTTGGTTATTATTTAATAGTATACCTACAGTTTACTTGAAGGACTTTCTTCAAGCGAAACGATGAGAATTAAGACTGCAATCTTTGAGTCGATCTGATCATTAGTGGATTTCCAAGTCGATAAATGAGCTTATATTACTTTAGCTATATTTGTAGTTCATAATAATAAAACAACTTAAAGCTTTTTTGAAATGTGATTTTTACCACAATTTCTTATGTGAATAAAAAAGCTGGTTTGATGAGGAAAAATGAGATGGTAAATGATAATAATTAAAAAGTGATTATCATACAAAAATCAGTTTAGAGGTTTAAAGATTATTTTAGATATTGGACATAGGTACATATTATATACTATTTCCGCTTAAAATGATCTTTGATTTGTATTTGGTTTCGCTTATCAAGAATTCAATTGTTACTTTTGTAAATATGAAATTGAGCTTTGCTTTTTTGAAGAATTCTATGAAAATGGAAAATAGCTAATTTTATTTTAATTTTAATCGATTTTATTCTTTTGAAAGAATTTGAATTAGTAATTTAAAATAAAATAATAAAAACATTAAAATCATTAAAACCGATTACCAATGAACCAGCCATTACCAGTGAATATGAATGTATGAATGGATGTTTGTTTGACTCTTTAACTCAAAAATTTTTGAACGGATTTTGCTGAAACTTTACAATCATTTACAAAGATACAATAATACACAATTGAAATACGCGTGCGTAGCCGCGGGAAAACGGTAGTATCAAATAACATCGAAAAAATAATTATCACGAATTTAGAATCTCTATTTATTTTGGTTAAGTCATCATAAAAGCACTGTTTTACAGCGCGTTCCGACGAGGCAATTTTAGTTAATTTGCGTTGCATACATCGTCTTTAATTTGAACTGAAAAACTACAAAAATCTATGAAACACGATACTTTAAAACTAAAATCTATTCAATTATATCCAAATATTATTATTATTAATAAGCCTTTCATTAGTCCATTGAAATGTTACATTTTTTGGGCTTAGCGTGCATTTGTCAGAGGACGCAATTTTATTTTTTAGATATCAAGGAGGGGTTAGTGTAAAGTTAAACCCAAGCTTGTGGGGTTGCAGCCCTTGTCCCACGGGCGCCATCTTGGAAAAAAGGGTACAAATGGTTTTTATGGTTAACTGCCAAACTATAGGCCTCACATAAAAATTGTTAAAGCATTTTTGGTTGCAAATAAAATTCTCTACAACTTTGGTCAAGTAACTTTTAGCCGTAGAACCAAAAATAACATTACATATAACATTTTTAAAATGTCATTTTGTTGAATTGTCATTATTTTTTAATCCTAAAAACTGTGGAAATTCTATTTAGCGACAATACTAAATTCCACACAGCGACGCCATTACCGAGTCAGATAAGTTAGTGACACTAATATTATGTCTATTAAGTCTATCATTTAATGTTACATTAGCGAGTCCAAGCCCAAATTAGCGAGGACGTGATATCTAAAGTATTTATTTTGTATAGATTCGATAATAAAGTGTTATTAATGTTAAATTAATGTTACTTGAATCAAATTAGCTTTCGATTTTTGTTAAACTACGTATAGGTATATGGATTTGAATAGATATTTCTTAAGGTTTTTGTATGATTGACGTTAAAACATAATATCTGGAAGAAAATTCATATACATTCTTAGTTTTTTTTTTACTCTAATATAATAAAAACAAATAGAAGAATAGAGTACCTACCATACAGTAAACACTACCGCTATCTAAGGGGAAAATCACCATAAGCCTGGCCGCGTTGTCTGTTTTGTCTGCATTGCTAGGTAATCTCTATTAGATGCACCAATATTTTTTTCAGATATTACTCGGAATTTTGTTTTTTTTTTTATTAAATCTGAAGATATATCTTGAAAATGATTACAAGGACATATTAACCACAACTCAGTGACATTTAAATATTTCCAAATAAAATATATATTAAAAAAAATATTTCAAGATAACGACGACTTACCCCAGCTTTGCTCGGGTGCGTTTTAAATACATTTAAATATTATTGCAATTGTATTTTAGGAGAAAGACTTATGCTTGCAGTAGTCCTTTCTCAGACCTACAATTTTCTAGTAGGTACATTGTTTTGATGTATCTCTTAAGGCATAGCCAGAGATCTAAGGACGACTCAATACAATCAGTTATGATGTTTTCCTGAAGAAACCTTTAACTTTACTTACAATCCTCAAGATGAACTTAATCATTAGCAAGATTACTTCAAATACTAACATCATGGAAGGATGAAAAAATAATTTTAACTATACTTTAAAGCATTATCATATATACCTACGTTTAAAACAACTACCTATAATACTTTCTTATCATTATCATTTTGTAATTTTGTGGGTAGCCAATGTCTGTAATAACTATATACTATAATTATGTACTATGAACTTTGCGACGTTTACGACTTTAGTCTATCCCGTCATGCGTCACCATAATTGCTGTAAAGCATACAAGTATTTTGTCCCTATTCCATGCAGAATTCAGTGAGTATCAAGTAAATTGATTTTGACATTTATTGTAATTAATTTCTAGGCGTTAATTATTATTTTTTCAAAGTATTCATTCTCGTTATAGAAATCTTTTACCTATATTACAAATGTATGTACAGACGGATTAATTATATATACTGAGATATTAAGTACAGAGTTTAAAGAGACGGTATAAATAGCAACATGATAGTATTTTATGGTTGGTCCCTACGTGATGTTTTCTAACAAGTGCTTTGATAACGAGCCAAGAAGCAATAGAACACACATAATGTTCTAAGTGAATATTAATTATTTTCATAGTTAAATAAACTTTACCCGTACAATTATTTTATTAGAATAGAGGTAATTCACAGATCTGAGATAAACGTAGGCTTTTTGTGCCATAACATTATTACATAAATTATATATCTATCTAAAACGATTTTATTTTATCTATACATACCTATAATAAAATTGAAACTGATCGCTGCCTGTACATGGAAGATATTTGAACAACTATTATTCTCTAACAAATTAGAACCCAAAAAAAAATGATTTTTAGATTTTTTGTCCGTTTGTCTGTGCGCTTTTGTTTTGTTTTTCTGTGCGCTTGTGCGCGCTAATCTCAGAAACAGCTTAACGGGCTGGGTGCAGTTTTCACTGATGTATTGTGGTAAGCTTCACTTAAAATTAAGTATTTGTTTTATTTCAATGGATTCATAAAAGAAAAAGTTATGTTAAATTTAAAAAAATCATCGATCAATAGGGACAAACCCGAGCGAAGCGAGGGTGAGTCGCTTCACTCGCTAGTTAGAAATATATTTTCTTTTACCGTGTAATATCAATATCATCGAGGCATCACTGGTAGGTAGTGTGCGTATAAAACAAGTATAAATTATTCCCATTCATTTGAATTAGCAAACACTAATAGATGCCTGTTAGATATCATGCTTAAATTGGTAATATTCGTCATAGTTAGTAGTTTTGAATAGAACCAAATTGTAACCACAGGTTTTCAAATTAGAGATTCGCTTGATAATAATTAATGACATGATATCTGTACAATTTAAATACATATATGTACCCTGTGCTGTATGTACATTGTACAGATGCTGTACTGTACATGCACCAAACACATACGCAATTTACCGGAAACGGATTCGTTTTGCTTCCTAGATATTGAAAACATCAGGTCGAAAACTAAAAGCTAGTTGATTAGGTTAACAAAACAATGATTCTAGGTCTAGATCAATTACATTTTGCACACGAGTTCCGCAGAAATAATTTTTGTCAATTCATCCTATATTTAATTCTTTTGTTTGCGGTTTTTATTAAGTAAAAAAATCCTGAACTGAGTACCTCTTCTGTTTTAAAAAAGGTCACAAGTAAAATAATAACATCAACTTGTTTGCTGAAACTAAATATGTGACTTCCTTAACTTAGGCATTTGATGATGATACTCTCCTGACTGATTTTGACCGCGGCGGCCAATCTCACTAAGCCTAGTCAACTGCGCAGGAGGTTATACTGCACAAGTGTACGCGCAGACACAAGTGCACTCTCTATTACTTTCCATTCTCAAAATCTGATGAGACGATAACCTCGACACGATCGGTGGTATTTAAGGCGCAGGATCCACGGCTTTACGTGCACTCCAAGGTATAGGACTCAAACACCGCC